CTGCATTAGATTCTTTGACCTCAGACCTTGAAATTTTTGTAAAGGTCAAAGGTCAAGGTCATTCAAAATTTGAGAAATTAAGCTCTTTTTATATCTCTTTTGTCTTTCATTATATACTAAATCTCTTTGCATCTTTAATATGTACTCTTCAAACTATTTCAAAGATTTCATACTTGTCCCATAAGATTTACCCTTTTAAAAGTTATTGCCCCTTTCATTGAAAACCTTGTTATCGCTACTACTCCGAAACCGTAAACCGCAGAGACACGAAACCTTCACTAATGTCTTCAGGGCCTTTAAACACAACTTCAATCTATTCAGTGCGAAAGGATCCGATGACCCCTTATATGAGTTATTGCCCTTTAACATCTTTGCTCTTACTATTCAACCTTATGACTTTGAAACTAAAAGTCGTAGAAGCATGGGGTCAAGTGCAATGTGACCCTTGACTTATGAACTTAAATAATTGTTCAAGATCAAAGGTCAAGGTCATTAAAAATTTTTTTTAAATTTCATTTTTTCCATCTCTCAAGCCATTTCTTGTTTCTTTTGTATAAAAATAAACAATAGAGAGTTAAATATGAAAAATATATGAAATTTAAAGAAGGTGGAAAGACCTCTAATTGTTCGAGAACAATTAGTCTACTAGTTGTAATAAGCAATGGTTTAATCGGGACTGTAGAAACGCTAGAAAAAAGTTTCATCTCGCTAAACGTATGTATAATCGAAATAAATCGACCGAAAACAAGCGTAATTTGAATGCTATGAGTAAAATATATAAGAAAACAATGGATGAGAGCATAAAAAATAATAGAAAGAATATTGCCAAAAAACTCAAAGATTTGCATTCTACAAATCCCAAAGATTATTGGAAAATTTTGAATGCATCCGATAAAAATAAGAAATGTGCTGTTGATATAAATGACATGTATAATTTTTTGAAAGATATGAATGAAGATAAAAATTGTAATGTTGTTCCTGATAACTTAGATGAACAGGAAGATGTAGCGAATTTTTCAAATGATTTTTCAGTTGATATCCTAAACTGTGCTATCAGTGATGAAGAAATACTGAACAGTGTCAAAAAGCTTAAAAATAACAAAGCATGTGGTTTTGACAAAGTGTTTAATGAACATATTACTTCAACAATTACTGTATTTTTACCCGTATATAGAAAACTGTTCAATTTAATATTTGATTCAGGTACCGTCCCGGATGAATGGTTAATTGGCATTGTTAAACCTATTTATAAAAATAAAGGTGATCCAACACAACCAGAAAATTATCGACCCATAACATTATTGAGCTGCTTAGGAAAATTATTTACAAGTATTTTATGCACACGTTTGGAAACATTTGCTGAAGAAGTAAATTTAATTAATGAGAGTCAAACAGGGTTTAGAAAAGGGTACTCAACTTTAGATCATATAGTTACCTTACAGTTTTTATGTCAGATTTTTTTTCAAAGAAAGAAAAAACTTTTCTGCGCTTTCATTGACTTTAAACAAGCCTTTGATACGGTTTGGAGATCTGGATTGTGGCATAAGCTATTTAAGAGTGGGGTTAGTGGAAAATGTTTTAACTACATCAAAAATATGTATATAGGAATTAAATCTATGATAAATCTGAATGGCACAATCACAGATTATTTTAACTGTAATGTTGGTGTTCGCCAAGGTGAAAATCTATCGCCTTTTTTATTTTCCTTATATATTAATGACCTGGAAGAGTTTCTCTCGGACAGAAATATTATTGGTTTACAAAGCATAACTGACGCTATTGAAGAAGAATTATATGTGTATCTTAAGCTTTTCATTTTGTTATATGCAGACGATACTGTTATCTTGGCTGAAACAGACGTAGATCTGCAAAAGGCTTTGGATGATTTTTATTTGTATTGTTCACAATGGAAACTTAATGTTAATGTTAGTAAGACAGAAATTCTAGTGTTTTCTAAAGGACCAATGTCAAAAAAGGTATTTTATTATAATAATAATGCAATTGAAAATGTAAAAGAATTCAAGTATCTTGGGATAATATATTCACGCTCAGGTTCATTTTGTAAGGCCAAAAAACATTTATGTGAACAAGCACAGAAAGCAATGTATGGTGTTATAAGGAAGATAAGACAATTTAACTTACCAATTGAATGTCAGTTAGATCTTTTTGATAAAGTTGTTGTTCCAATTTTGACTTATGGCTGTGAAATTTGGGGTTATGAAAATCTCGACATCATTGAACGTGTACATTTAAAATTTTTAAAACATATTTTCCATTTAAAGAGTAGTACGCCCTCGTATATGGTGTATGGGGAGACTGGGCGATTCCCATTGTATATTAATATTTATACAAGAATGATCTCCTACTGGTTAAAATTACTTACCCCGAATTCTTTAGAAAACAAAATAGTTTGTGTTTTGTATAAATATCTATGTTCTCAATATTTTCAAGGAGGTCCAAAAAACCTATGGGTAGATTTCATTTATAAAATTTTAACCTCTTGTGGGTTCTCCAACATTTGGTATGAACAAAGTCCCATTGACAGGAATTGGGTACTTGCAGCAGTGAAGCAAAGATTAAGCGACCAATTTATTCAAAAATGGCATAGTGATATAAATAATTCATCAAAAGGTCAAATTTACAAAATTTTTAAGAGTGATTTTGGATTTGAAAAATATCTAAGTATTTTACCTAGTAAACTCCAAAAAATACTAATAAAATTTAGAACTTCAAACCACCACCTCCCAATTGAAACTGGTAGATGGTTAAATATTCCACTGGATGAAAGAGTTTGTAAATTGTGTAATACAGGGCAAATAGCAGACGAATATCATTTCATCCTAGAATGTAAAACATTGAACAGCATCAGAAAGAATCTTTTACATCCCAGATTTTGTAAAACGCCGAATACACTTAAGTTTTCTGAAATTATGTCAACGACAAACTTAAAAACTTTAAAAAACCTTTGTATATTTATATCTAAAATAAACGACACCGTCTGTCCTCCATAATTTAAATGTTATCATACCATTTTTTTTTCTTCTTTTCTTCTTTCATTGTATGTTTATTGCTATACTATGTACATATGTATATGCCCCTCATTTATGCTATTGTATCATAATTATATTTATTATTTTTGTCACAATTATGACGACTAATTTATTGTACCTCATGTACCACTGATGTTGGTGTGAGTGAATAAAATGAAATGAAATGAAATGAAATGAAATTTGCTCTGCTCCCGAATTGTATTGTTTCGATGGACTTTTGAGCTTAATTACTGTTCGTTATCTCCATATTTCATTTTGTTCAAATATCGTCTTTTCAGAGTCGGACTACTGATGACTTATTTTTAACTTTAAAAAAAAAACTGTCAAGAAATGCAAAACTGAAATAATATAATTCCACAAGTCAGATAAGAACAGATTTAAGATAAATTGGGAAAAGGATAATACTAAAATTCCAGATTGGGGGGTTCTTTCTGAAAATAATTTTCCATTTTCAATCTTTTAATCTGCATTTTTTCAGTGCTATATAATATAATACACAACTGTATGCGGATGCAGGAGATTAACATTTTATTTATCTACAATTTCTCAAGAGTATTATGCAGGGATATCATGACTACGAGGTATGAATGCAAACTTTGGTGAATAATGGTGTCTCTCCATGCAGGCATTGTCGACTCCATGACGTATCAATGCATACATTACCTAACTTCATGGTCTCTCAATGCAGGTATTGGCTCTAGAAAGCGTCAGGAAAAGCCTGCATTGGCTCTTGAGAGAGTCAGGCAATGCCTGCATTGGCTCCTGGGGTAGTCGGACAATGCCTGCATTGAATTTTGAGTCATTCAAAGTCTGCATTGGCCCTCAAGAGTGTCAGCCTATGTCTGCATTAGCCAACAATTCACAAGTTACCTCAACAGATAGTCATAAAATTCTTACATCGGCTTTACTATTGAAAGGTTTTTAAACATTTTTAGACATTGTTGATTCTCAGCGCATTTCCCAAATAATTTTTATTTTTGAAATAGTCGTTAAAGCATTGCAAGTTTATTCATTTTCCTATTGTACAACTACATTCTGTATTCCTTTATCGCCAAAATTAATCATTACATTTACACAGATTTCAACTGCATAATTATGTGATCAGATAAAAACATCAAAATAAAAACATAAACTGCATGGAATATAATGGAAACTTTCAGTAAAGACTTTGCAATATTGGAAATAAGTAATTTTGAGAATAATATTTGTATAAGTCTACTTTTTTATCATAAAAAACTGTCTTTTGTCAACTTTCATTCACTTTGATGGTAGAAGCCAAGATTTCTTTTCATATCACCCATAGCATTGATCTTGAATTTAAAAAATATGATCCAGGCCAAAAAACATTAGTGTGGAGTTGATTAGAACAAAGAATGATCTGCAAAAAATTTTTTTTAAGATGAAGCATCATTTAAGTGTCTACATAACACATTCTATAAAATAAAACAACAAAATCTTTTCAAAACCCACACCAAACAGACAAAACACGAGTACACAATCGTATAATTTTTTTTTAAATTAGTTTATCTCTCATACACAGAGAATCACGTGTGATTATGTTTCCTAATAACCACATTCAGTACGCGCCTCTCCCAAAACTGTTTGCGATAATTTAAGCTAAAGCTTGAAACATAAACATGCAACACCACATATCCCTGCAATGAACTGAGGACAAACATTACACAACTGTCTAGGAATCTTACGTTTTCTGCAAAAATAGCGAAAGCTGATATTTTGTTATCAGGGAGCTGGACTTTGAATGAATTTCCAACATACCGACTTTTTATTGCATTATTTCTCCCGACTTGCTTTGCACGTGCAGAAACTCTTCTTCAGACATACATTCATCTATTCCTGTATTCCTCGGAACTCAACAACAGTTACTGAAGAAATCATGCAGGCACATGCAACATGTACCACAACCAAAGACCATACGACCACCAATCTTACCCTTTCTTATTTGTGTAACTAGCGGTAGAACTAGTACTTGAACTAGTAGAACTTGTCGAACTAGCAAAACGACTCGACCCACTTGAATCTGAATCCCGCCTTTGCTCATTCTTCGTTTCTTCTTCAGAATCCTTGGTTATTGTATCGGCTGGTTTATTCTGGTCTCTGTGAGATAGCATTAATTTTTCATAGTTTGTTCGGAATCAACCGTTGAACAAAAATATATCTCATTAACTCAGCTGAATTATGTTGAAAAATATTATCTGAATTTAGACATAACCAAGTACATGTAACTTGATAAAATACTATAAAACTCTTGAAGACAACATTACTAAGTTGAACATATCTGATGAACAAAACAAAACAATCCTCATCATATTTAGTGAACTACCATGCAGTGAACACAGCCTACGACAAACCAGTCCAGAAAAAAAACGAAACTTTGTGCAGAGAAACATAGACTTCTTTCATTAAAGTCATCTAACTTTGTTAATTATTAGCATGCAGGTCAACCAATCATCATGCATTGTTCACACCCACTTCACGAGAACCCCTCGCTTACCGATCTGACCAAGCTACTGAGCTGGTGCTGCTAGACCTGGGCGTTCTAGTTTTATGACTAGTGTATTTTTGTTTTGTTCTTTCTCTGAAAAAGTGACATTGTGATGATATACATTTTTTGCAAACAATGTGTGCGAGGTATCATGCTTCTTGCTTCACGCATGCGCCTATAATGAAAAGATATTATTAATTCTATATATTCTAAAACTATGTGGACTAATGCATCACGGTCATCAATGGCTAAATATTGATATTCTGTGCAAGAGATTAACCATACCGGGCCAGAGAATCGCTTGCTTTTGAAAGAGAGCTTGAAGAATTGGATTTAGTATCACCACTGGCCTTCTCCATATTCTCTCTGTAAAAATATTCTACTGCTTTAAACGTTTGAGCTACGTCTTCAATGTTATATTACCAAGAAAACATTTAATTACAAGGATAAACTCAACCTAGAAGGAAGTGAGATTCAACAAAAACAGCAGCACTATCATGCAACACACGGATCTTTGTAGCGTAGCTTTGTGTAAAGCTCTACAAAATCTTACCCTGGAGGGTTTGAGTGAAGAAAATCGCGAAGTTTTGGATGTGGTCTTCTAGACCTTTTTCTGCAAATGATATATCGAACTCAGTCAAGTGCTGAGAACTTAAAGCTCTTCGTGACTATTTTATCTCAGCCAAAACATTCAATAGTGTACAAAGATCAGAGATAATCGAATTTAGCATGGATATAAAAATACAGCAGCCACCACTTTGTTAAACCCATTTTCACCCTAAAAAGTAAATAGAAAAAAAATAGTTGAGCATTAAACTGGTGAATGAAGATTTATACGTACTTAATCTCTACTTTGGAAGATGCATCTTTACTAGCTGAAAAGTAGGATCTTCTGTATCTCTTTTTGTGTTCTCGCATTGTGGATCGCACTGAACGTTCATCATCATCATCTGATTCGTCAATGTAGATGATCTGCTGATATGGAGGGTGCATGAAATATGGCGGCATCATTGACCTGTATAGACCTGGTGGAGCAGCGGCAAACCTTAAGGGACCTGGAGGTCCTCTTTGACTACCCATCGGAGGTCCTCTATGACTACCCATCTGCCTACTGAGGTGGCTTCTCTGTGTTCCATGTGGAGACCTCATGACTCCATTTGGCACTCGTGTTTGCAGTGGAATACCATTTGGCGCGTTTCCGTTCATGTCATATTTTGGTTTTGGTGGCGGTTTTCGGTGCCGTGGCTTTGCAGGTCCACTTGGAGGTGACAACCTTTGTAATGAAAAGATACTTTGAACAAGTCATGCGGATAATAATAAGAAATATTTATTAAGACTGGTCATACATTCTGAAAGACTGTGAAATGCGGACAAAACAAATTTACGCAGTAGTGTTTTACTTTTATCACAACAAATGACATACTTCGATATGATGTACAAGCAGACATGAGATTTTCTATGCCAATTTTTGCTTTCCGTCAATTATGGAGTTTTGTTTTTTGTCAATATTATGAGAGAGATAACAGGGGGCCAAATCTGTTACACACACTGACGCATACAGGACGTTTTCTGATATGGGATTTGTTGGAAATCAATCTTTTGTGACGACCAACATAAGGAAGTATTTTACTGGTTAAAAATCATCACAGATATTGCACCATTATATAAATAACTATAAAAAATGTAATTAATTAGGGGTTTTTTTTCCTTACATAGTTTCACATGACAAATTGACGGATGTATTTTTATTTATTATTATTCATTATTATTTTCCTATTAAAGCTTTGCTCTTTTCCATTTGTCTTTCACAAAGAAAAAATGTATCTGCATTGACCGTATTACACTGTATCTATTCAGGCAAGACTTTTAAATGTCATGTAAAATCAATAGAATAGGATCGACACTTCCTAGTTATATCTTTGTTGCAATGCATTCAACCTTAAAAGTATATACTATGATAAAACACAAGCAAATTTCATTGTGTACTGTAAGGTTGCGTGCATTTATCGTAGCAGTATAGCACAAATAATTTCTTGTATAATACCTTTTTTTCAATTTGGTTAAATTTGATCAAGAAATTCCAGGTAATGGGTGAAAAGATAAAAAATTAATTACACAGTAAATGATCAGGAAAACTTCCTTATTCGGGTGAGCTAAAACAAAATAATAAAACCAGAATCAATATCATTTTTTGCTAGTTAAGGAAAATAAACCTTCAGATCTTATTGATATACTGATCATTTACATGTAAATCTTGACCCAGCTGACGACAAAACTCTACCCACCGGTAACAAAGAATGGCGGACACGATAACTATGGCCATCAACATGAGGCCTGCTGCTATGGTTGATCCTATGATACCATCTATCCCGACATCCAGAGCGGAGGCACCTGTCAATTAGAAAACAGACGTTAAAGGAGGGTAGTGATGGCTGCAGACACCAAAGCCGTTGCCTTGGGTGTGATGATGGTTTTAGAAAGGTCTACATTTAACTTGTGTACGTATCTTAGCAGTAAATCACACCTGTCAATGGAAAATTGGCATGTTTCAGTAATATGGATTTTAATATATTCTATGGGAAGTGTCTTTATCGATCGTTCAGAGGGCACTATATATATGTATTTATATAATTACTAAGTTTATGTGAAATATTTGAAGCGCGATTATAAAATGCTTTATTCTAGCATTTATATATTAAAAAAAAAAAAAAAAAACAAGTGTTATTGTCCATTGCTTAACAATCCATTCATACCAAGTTTTCGTATAATATATTAAAGGAAGAATTCTAATATCAGTGTCATTTCTATTAAACGTCCTAGATCAGGGGGAGGGGGCACGGGAATCAATAAACACACATAAACAAAAGTTTCCGAGATTGTAAGTATATATGAAAAACAACAATTTAACAAAACAACTGAACAGACAATTTGAACCACGCAACAAACCGTGATGAATATTTCCTCTTTAACATTCTGAGAGAACTCATTGTATGGATTGTTTAACATAGTAAGAATATTCACCTGAGAATGAAACTATTTACGAACCCATACCCCCCACCCCCCAAAAAAATGTTTTCCCTCTTTAGAGGTCTGTAAATTACAAGTAAAGCAAATAAAACATACATATCTATTCTACAGAAAGCAAAGTTCATGACAAATCGGAATTGTATGGGCCAAACAAATTTTATTGCAACAATTAGTCAAAATTGAAACATTTGAACAACCAGTCATCAATTTTTATGAATATTTTATAAAATAGGTGTGATGCATTATCAGACTGAAATATATAGCCATAACAAAAAAATTACCAAAAGTAAAAGGTTGAGGCTTCCTCATAAAAATACCAGAGTCTGTTCTATTATCTTTTTCATTGGTCTGCACGCCTACATACCGGTCGACAAGAAACCAATCAAAACATATAGATTACGCAAGTACGAGTACTACGTTTGGAATAGAGCGACGTTTTGATAAGATTTTATTCTTTGCCTTGAAACTGGTTCTCTCTGGGGATATCATGGGGTTTGTTCATTTGAATTGAATCAAACTGGAAGACAGAGAAATCAAATTTTTATTCTGTACGATATACGACCTCTCAGAAGTTTTCATCAAATCTATTAAATATTTTGCTAACTTATCATACATGTATTTGCAAATTATACTATTTTCATATGTTTGGTTAGGTCCCTGGTATGTATAGACTGATAATGTCATTGCATTCTTTGAGTTTCATCGAATTGTGAGGCATAAAGTGTACATCTTTGATCCCTCATCAGATAAACTTGAAATCGTGATCGACACTTCTAATGGATTTTCACCTTATTTGCATTAAATACTAGTACATTACTGTACGAGTATAGTAAATTTTAAAAATGTTTCGTTTATCGATCACTATTTTACCATTCACGATACTCAGTATGCTTATTTATATTTCGATACAATTATGTATCCCTAAATGATATCATATTATGGACATTATAAGTACGAAATTAGCACGTGTATGCCACGACCCTATATGCAAATTGCGGTTAGAAATATTAACATAACGATATGCAATTTAACCGAAACGCAAAGTATTCAGTTTATTTAATTGTAAATTGAATGTTAATCTAATTAAAACGTACAAGTAATCTACGTACAATATGAAATAAACAAATGTGTCTGGAGTTCCGTGTCACATGTAATCTGATGTACAAATTAATATTGAATAATATATGTTATATACAAAGGGTGTGTTACGAAGTTTTTTGTAACAAATTAATTTATTTCTTCCTAGTTCCTCTAATCTATTTTTACAGGAGAATAGTGGAATTTTCCTCCGTTTGGTGTCATCCACCTTAGCTCTTATGAATAAATCAAAATATCAACGCAACGCCATTAAGGAATTATTCATAAGTAAACATACACATGTAAATTTAAAACCGGTTCCCTTCTTTTCGTTATCTTATCTCTATAATTAGAATCTCTGAGATGACCATTACATATTGATCCAGATCATTATTTCTGCGGTTGTTCAACTAAATCCAGGTCGGTAATTAGGTAATATCATATACCTGTTGATTTTTACAAAGCTTAACTTTTGTCAAAAGTATTAAGGAGACGTAACTTAACTTTCGTTAAACGTGGCTAAGAAGATGCATAATTCACGTTTTTGTACGCACATAATGAATCGAGTCATGCATAACAGCTAAATTATATACATTACTTCTAACCCACATTTTTAAATTCTCCTTACAGAACTATTGGAAATGTGATTTAAATCGATAAGGAAGTGGTTTGCACTTCTGGGCCAAATGGTGCATTTCTGAATACGAATATGCAATTGCAAATTGACCTGCATATATAATTGAAAAAAAAGTAAACTGCACTGCACAATTTGCCTAGGGAATGCAATTAAAAAAAGTGCAACTTTGATTGCAAAGTTTCGATTTTTAGGAATTAGCTTAGGAGGGTAAACTGCAATGCATAATTTGAAAACATAAAACATTGAAAATATGCATGGTCAGTTAAAACTTCCTGGACTTTGTTGAAATTATTGATGGTAGGCTCCCAAAGGCGATATTCAGTACGTGTTCATTCAATCCCTTTTTTTACAATACATTTGTGTTTCTTTCCGGATAATGAATGCTTAAGGTGTCCGGATAAAGAAATGATTTTCCGGTCATTAATTCGTGTTTATTAAGGTGGTTTAACACCTAGCTGTGCCATAATGCGAAAGCAATTAACGCGTTTCTACAGAAAAAAGAACCACAATTAATACTTTGCAATATGTGGTACACAGCCATAATTTTGTGTTCCCTGTTTTTAAAGTTCAGAAAGCGGTTATTTGCAGGGCAAATGACACTTGCACTTGCCATTGTCCGAATGATGTCGTAAAATTCCCTTTTACACACTGTCCGTGCCCTCAGGTCCCCGCCAGTCTGGCGGATACCATTGAAGAGAAGTAAATCAAAAAGCCCTATATATATAACTTTTAAAAATAAATGTATGCAAATCAAATACTGACCAATGTATCATTGATTGTTAGGACTTATAACTCCGGTTTGAGTCAACCTGTCAACAGAACCTAAACCAACATTATATAACACGGCTCAGTAGACCACATTTTGATCCTTTGTGTTGATTAGTCAAATAGGGGTGGATAAATACGTGTTACACCACACACAGACAGAAATTCAATGCAGTACTAGTTAATCTTTAAAGATCCTAAATCCGCCCTCAGCTTTTAATTTTTTGCACCTTGGTCGGTTCACGATATACTTTTTCTCAGTGTTTTGACCTTTTGGTCTGTTAGTCTTTTTAAAAGTCCACATCTCTTTTTGATCAGTCTTGCAATCATGCATGGAACCGTTCATTTACATATCAAATATTTTCGCCGATACTGTTAACGCCTCCAAAATAAACAGCAATTGCAATATGTGTACCCTTTCTGAATACCACAATGTTCCTTTCTTTTGACGACAAGTGGAGCATTTATTGGATCATCTTACACCACGTTTTGTCGTAATTGGGAATCCAGACAATGTGCAGAAATGTTCTATAAATAATACTCTTAGAAGAAAAGAGGAAACCACTAAGGGTGCTTTAATCATATGTTATAAATAGACAAAAATTAGAGGTCCCTGGCCCCACCCTATTTCATATCAACTATTAAACGAAAGAGACTTGATAAAAGAACTAGTAAACTGATTATCAAAATTGTATGTGTACAATAAAAGACTGAATTTTAATTTGAAAATACTTATGAGGGTCAAAAAGTTACAGCATAGGTAATGACACGACTACACACGGAAAGGAGGCAAAAAGAAACTTACCTGGCAAAGACATCAGAAGACACACAACTGTAGCAGAAACAGAAGGAGAATCCATTTTTTGCGTCTGATCCTTGAGAAATCCGAAATTTTGTGACCGAGGGACACAGACCAACAGACTAGGAAGTTACATTTCTGCTTTAAGAATAAAACCGGCCTCTTCCACACTCCTAGGTTCTGAACTTTACAATATTTGCTTTTTAAACAGGCGTAAGTTGGGTCGACAATTCACGGCTGAGCGATCGCTTAAGAAAGAGGCACTTCATAACTAATCGTCTCAAACTATGAATATACACACAAAAACTGTAGACAACACTTTTTGTGGTTTCATTAATGTACTTCGTTACATTTTTTGACAAAAAGCAAAGGCGCCCTTGAATCCAAAGGTGAAATGAGGTAGAAGTATGCGAAGATCAATACGATGAAAATCAATCAACAGAGTCGCATAATAAACTGTGAATGTGTACAGTGGAATCCATCTATTTCATTCTGTTACCAAATCAATGTCAAATTCAGTTATCATATATACGCTATAAATAATTCATTTTTGCGTCTTTCAAACCATTGATTTCATTAAGATTGTGAAGTCCGCATAATTTACAATGGCGATACTAGGTAATTAGAATACGGTCATTATTTAGTGTTGAACCTTTTTTCCTGACGTAAAACTTCAAAATTAGATGCACAGAAGTGGTCACAATTCACCAATGCATCAGGAACAACGATGCAATTTACGTCATTGCAACAACAGTACTACTTAAAAATTCAGACAGCCAAAGCACTGCTTCGCAATCCTTGACAGTTTCCTGCCTCGCGTTCTCTTCACATAGCCTTTTTAATTCAATCCTCACTTTGTTAGGGGATTATCCTCCCAGTAGAAAGAATTTCTTTCCCAGTACTTATAGGCAAAAATCTTGCAATTCTAAGACTTCAGAGCAAAGTGGGTTTTTTTTTTCTCTGTCATTGAAATGACGGGTATTCTCGGCAAATAAAAATGTACATGTAATTAATTTTTCGGTATAGTTATATGGAAAATAGCTTAATATCCAAAGCATTCAAGCCATAGTATCATGAGTAGTTTAAATTCTAGCTAGCGCTTCTGTGTTATTAGTCCCCTACCGGTGAAACCGGAGGGGACTATAGGTTTCCTCGGAGTCTGTCCGTCTGTCTGTCCCACTTGGTTATCCGCACTTTTTTTTCTAAATTCTTGCAGATATTGAGCTGATTTTTGGTATGTAAGCGTATATTAATGAGCTACAGATCAAGTTTGAATTTCGTTCCGCATCATTGATTTTTGAGGGAATTACGGCCTTTTTAATTTTTATGAGTTTTCCGCACTTTTTTTCCTAAAGGCTTGCAGATATTGAGCTGATTTTTGGTATGTGGGTGTATCTTGATGAGTTACAGATCAAGTTTGCATTATGTTCCGCTTCAATGATTTTTTGACGGAATTACAGCATTTTTAACGGGAACCAGATTACACTTGCCGGTAGAGGACTAGTATTGCTAATGCAATACTCTCAGAATGCTTGTTTAATTCTAGCTAGAGTGTTGTGATAGGTATATACATTCCAGATAGGGTATACCTACACTATTCTTTGACAAGTCTATACTTTTTAGCTAGAGCATTCTGTGGTACTCAAGATTGAACATATATTTTATTTGTATACATGTAATTAATGGGATAAGTCACAAGTTACGCCGTCTCCCTAGATATACATACTAGTTAAAGTTAGTTTAAGATTCTAACAAGAGAATTTTGAGTACGGATTATATTCTAGCGAGAGTATTTTGAGGCAATAAACATTCAATATCGACTATTTTCAGCTAAGTTATAAACATTCTAGCTAAAATAAGTTGAGTTAAAGGTACATGTAAACGAAAAAAGAGTAATTTGAGATAGATATTAAATATTCTAGCTAGAGTATTTTGAGCAAGGTAATAAATATTCTTGCTAGAGTAATTTTAGTTAGGTTTTAAAAATTCAAAGTAGATTATATTGAGTAAGGTATTTAACAGAGAGTAATTCGAGTTAACATTCTAGTTAGAGAAAACTGAGATATTTGACAAACGTATATTCTAGTTAGAGTATTTGATTGATTGTATGTTGTTTAACGTCCCGCTCGAGAATTTTCACTCATATAGAGACGTCACCATATACCGGTAAAGGGCTTCAAATTCAAAAAGGCCTTTACTCGGCACTGAGGGCCATTGAGCAGTGAGGGATCTTTATCGTGCCAACGCCAACCGTGACACTGACCTCGCTTTAAAAGGTCTCATCCGAAAGACCCACAACTTTCACTTCAAAGTGTCGAGCGCTTGGCGAAGGAACAGTTGCTACCTTTTTTTATCGACTTAGGTCAGTCGCGGCCTTGATTCGAACACACAACCTTCCGATCACGGAGCGAGTGCTCTACCGACTGAACTACCGTGACGGTTAGAGTATTTGAATAGATGTAATAAATATTCTAGCTTGAGTATTTTGTAATAGATGTAATAAATATTCTAGCTTGAGTATTTTTAATAGATGTAATAAACATTCTAGCTTGAGTATTTTTACTTAATTAATATAAACATTTTAGCTAGAGTACTATGAGTTATATAGTTTAACACCAAAGCTCAAGTATTCTGAACTTATCATTTACATAGAGTTCTATTATTTTCCAAAGAAGTCCAGCTGCAGTATTTTACTTGGATATGACTTCTCGAAGTAAAAGTAAACGCAGGCAGGCTTGTTTAATGGAAACGCTTTACAATGGAGCACAGTCAGTTGTTGTTTATGATATTAATGCAGTGTATGTGTTATAAAATCACTTGTGTAAAACATCTTGTAGAACGTAAATCCAAGGCGCAGTGGATTCTAAATAAATAGGTTTACTCAGAACCAGAATATTGAGGACCACATTCTAGAATGTTTGATGCAGAAAAATCTGCTACGTTTTTGTCAATGATTACAAGAATATTATATAATTCAAATTCATATATGCAGTCCTTACATGTAATATAAATCAATTATAGAGCATTTTCCTTAAAACATACACACACATATAACAGCACAAAAACGTTAGCATCTGTCTCAAAGTTCAGTGCAGCACGTTTGACACATTCAAATTACTCATAAACAATAAATCAGCTCGACGTATTAGTTTTGTTAACTATAATAAATGGTGTTTTATATTTTATTAGAATGAAGAATTAATATATTCCAAATTTTTAATTTTTTTTTTTTAGGAAAGTGGAGATTGAAAAAATACTAAGCTTCAACAAAGCATCATTATATACAGTATATGGTGTCCATAGCAGTGTACAGTGTATTTGATAAACTCTTAAAATTGCAAGTTGAGCGACAATAATGAGCAACCAGGTTTTTCTATCCAAATGATTACGGACTAATGTCTTGAAACCCATTATTTGATTAACATCACTATACTTTTGATTGTCATTAAACATCGTACACTGTTTGGTCATCATGATAAGACAGTGACAGCTACTGATTGTCAGGTCTTTTCCCTGGTTTTTCCCACTAAAACCCAAATTACTTTGATATTCTGAAAAATGATAAACTTTGCATACGTGTTAGCCATGGTATACAGATGACACAGTAAATTTCAGGTCAAAAGCCACCTGGTTTCACATCAAATAGTTCAAACAAAACTTGACTTTACTCTTTTACATGGTTATCAAGCATTATACACGAAGTTGGTCTTGATTCGCTTAAGAGGACTACCGATTTTTAGGTGAAATGGCAATCTTTTTTCCGGGGGGGGGGGGGGGGGGTTATAGTGAAATCAAATGTCTTGAATCAATATCTTGGAAATCATTGGCTAAATTATCAAACTCTAAAAGATTTTGGCTAGTTAATTCTTATTTACATAACAGAGTAACATTTATGATTTATAATTCGTTTTTTATCATTAAAATAGATATATTTCCTTTTTACTTTAGAGAAAAAGATGACATGGTTGGAGAAATGAATACTGCGGTTAAAGTTCTCTGATCTATAGACAAAGTCCACAATATATTTTATTGTTACTTTGCCTGATCATGACAAGTTTGTTTTGTTCACACATGTTTTTCTCAACCAGTCATTCAAATATAACTTTTTTATTTCTATTTGGCAGTATTTTAAAGGCAAAAAATATAAATTTTCTACAATTGGCTCAAATAGTTGTTTTTACGAGGCCTTCAGTTCCATACATATATATTTGTTTCTTTTCAGTATCACGTACCTGTAAAGTAACCAAAGGGGAAAGATCATCATCAGTAGCCCGTTTTACAAAAGAACTAACGACTAAGACCAAAATTTAATTCTAGTCATAACTTTCTAATTTACACTAAATTGAAAATGGTTTTAATCTCTTCAAAAGGAATGTAGAAAGATATTTCTACGCTAGCAATTTTAAACAGAATCATTAATTTTGCAAAATTTTACAATGAGCTAAAGTTTAGGGTCTTCGTCGTAAGTTCTTTTGTAAAACAGGCACCAGAGCTGAACAAAGGCATTTTTGCCGCCGTTAACAGATATTGAATTCTGTACGTTCAAATAACTGAATAATAACAATAAGTTTATTTGTATAATTGTTTCCGAAATATTCTGCAAGACAACTATGCGTTACAGTATATGTAAGGAGAGGAACTCGCAAGTTATCAGAACTTGTTCCCGATCCTATTGCATGATTATTTCAGTATGTTCAAAACAAGAACATGAACAATTTATCAGCTTACTGTTTTTATTCATGATTCTTCATAAAATTTTAAGAATAAAGTACTCCTTCCTTACACAATAAATCAATATCTGTAACATGACTGCATACACTGTGTAAGATATAAATACAGATCTGACAGTATAGTGATACATAGAATGAAATATTGCTAGGTGTGTGTATGTGTGTGTGTACAGCACAGAAGAAAATGTATAAGATAATGAAATAATATATACAAAGAAGGAAAAAGAGGAAGGGAGTAAGAGAACATGTTTATTTACAATATACACTGTACTATGTATTTACATAGAACATTAAAAATTAAATTTTAATAAAAATTAGACTAACTGTAAAAATATTGTGTCATAATTCTACTTAAAAAAACCATAAATAAAATTATATTTCAAACTACTTTTTTTAATGTTTAATGGAAACTAGAAAGACTTAGAACAGTTGTAGGTGCTGCACTAGTAGTGATGCCATCATGCCACTGAATATTTCTTTAAAGAAAAATCACACATAACAGTTCCAAAATTTTTGCAAGAAAGTATTTGAGGAAATACACAATTTCTTTCTACAAATTTCTCAATTTCCTGTACTGGTAATGACTGAAACAAACTAATCAACAACTTTCCCTCCTATAATAAATAGCACTTGATAAATACATGTTTAAAAAAAAGGTGATGTGTTGCATATATAGAATATTGGAGAGGTGTATTAGATAAGTGATACAGTCTGTATTGATTGACAGTGTAGATAGACCAATGTGCCACACTGCTCCCCTAAGTAACCTCTCTTATTCCAATAAAAAGTTGTGACCCCATATTGTGGCCCCACCCAAACTCTAAGGGGTCTCTGAATTCACACAACATGGAGATGTTTCATTATCAATATGACATATTTCCTGCTGTTATGGATGAGAATTTTTTTTCTGTATACATACATTATGTAAAATTTGATCCATGATTTTAGCCCCATGCTAAACCAGGGTCCATTTGAAAGAAAAAACTAGAACTAGCCTATAGAACATGAATGCCAACACCCACGGTTTATTAAAAGAAAATTGTCTTTCGTCTTTGTTTAAGATTAGGGTAAATGAAGAAAACTGAGGTCAAGGACACAGGGAAGGTTAAGGTCAGAAAATTATGACACAATTGACTAGCTCTCACCAGTTTGTATTAGTGTATGAAGTTTGATGAAAATACCTTGAAAAGTTTCTTTAAAACTGAGATTTAAACACAATGAATAGGAAAAGTCAAAGGTCAAAGGGAAGGATAAGCTAAAAAAAAAAAAAGGACCCAGCTGATACTGTAAATATATTTAATGTGTACGATATTTGTACGACACAGTTGAATAATTCTCACTAAGATGTATTTGTTAAGATAAAATATATTGAATAGTTTCTTTGAAATTGAGCTAAATGTAAAATAAAATAGTAAGGTAAAGGTCATAGGAAAGGTCAGGGTTGTTGTTCTTGAGAAGCAAATTTTTTCCCTATATATTCGTATGTAAAACTTTAATCATGGGGGCCATGATTTGAACAGTTTAGAATATACACTATTTCAGGTAGCTTAAGTACAAGTTTCATTATTTCTGGCCCAGTGTGGTTCATATGTATCCTCATTTTAAAAATTTAGCCTAAACTCTATCCATGTAGACCATGATTTGAAGAATTTAAATCTACACTGTCAGGAAACTTGCATTTCTTCTAAGACCCTACCCTATTTTTGCCTTTTCTTTGTTATCTCCCCCCTTGGAAGGAGTATAAGCCCTTCATCTGACTGATTTTAATTCCCTCTACCAAAGGATGCTTTGTGCCTGGTTTGGTTGAAATTGGCACAGATATTCTTGTGAAGTTGAAAATGTGAAAAGTTCACAGACATGTGGATGGATAGACAGACAGATGGACAAAGGGTGATCAGAAAAGGTCACTTGAACTCACAGCTCAGGTGAACTAAAAATTATTTGAAGTAAAACAAGGTAAATATCATTCACAATACCCATAATCATTGATGCATAAACATAATAAAACCTTAAATATCTTTGTTTTACAACAGTTTTAAATGTGATCGTCAAATTACAATTTGGATCAAATTTAATAAAATATTCACTAAAGCACCGTCTTACAGAAAGCATTCACAGGATAAAATCACAGAGTTATGACATCTCTTTATTTTCTCACACTGTCCCTTCCCTGAGGGTCCTGTGTTTCCCGTTTGCAGAGAGCTGAGATTAATCACAACCAAAGTTTATTTCCTGAAAAATACAAGCACCAGTATATTTCAAAAATAAAGATTTCATATAAAGTATGAACATAATGAATGATCAGCATCTATAGATAACAACAGTTACATGCATCTTGATAGATAGTTTAATATCCTGAGAATATTGTATACAGCTTCAATTTTATCTGTAGTGAATGTAATCAAAATAATAAAACAAAGTATTGGTAATTAAATAAATTAAAATAAAGAGAACAGTGATTCTGTTAAGTTAAAACAAGTTTGGGTGATTTCATATGTAATTATGTATAAATAAATCAAGAAACATGTAAATGCACTTGTACACAAATGAATATTTTCTCACAAATTAGAAAACAACATTTTAGAAATGTCCGTGAAAAAGGGGCATAGAAAAGAGAAATAAGGGGAAAAAAACAGAAAAATACAAATGTAGCTGCACTCTTGAGTAGTAGCAATCTACATGAGCAGATCAGAGGAAGTAATTTTTCTGAGATTAAACAACCGTTAAACATTTAAAAAAAAAAGAAAAAAACTGTTATTTATATGCAAGTGAAATCCCCCCTCTTCCCCATCAAGTTTGTTAGGTTTGTTAAGTAGCAGTTACCTACCACCCATGCTAAAGAATAAAATTCTGCCCACCTTGCAGGAACTTACCACAACAAGACTTACAGTTTACAGGAGGCTAATATGTCTTCACAGAGCTTCTTATAATGCCAGGTGTCTCCTTTCACTCTCTTTCTACAGATTCCTATGTAAGGAACTTTCGGTAAAGTACAGATCTCAAGGTCAAAGGCTAGTTGTACGCGTGACCAGTCACTCATCACCGTGCATCTAAGTGTGTAACTGAAACAAAATGGTCATTCCACATACATTAAATTTTTCCGCTTATATGAGCAATATCACAGAATTTAGTATAATATCAGTAAAATTTGAATAAAAAGACGTTTGTAAACACTGATGCCCCCATATGCAGCTTAAAGTTTGTCAAAAGAAGGTCAAACTGCAAGGTCATGGGTTAAAAAAATTGTGGTACCCAATGAAAGGTGTTGTCGCTAAGAATCCCTTGTGAAATACGGAAGCCCTAGAATCAACCATTTAGAAGGTATTTCAAAAGTAGACCAAACTCCAAGGTCAATGTCATGAGGTCAACAATGGTGGTACCCAAAGAAAAGTCTTGTCACAAGAAATGCACAGGTGAAATATGAAAGCTGTGTTGCCACCTGTTCAGAAGTTACTGCCAAGGTTAATTTTTTTTTCAAAAGTAGGTAAAACTCCAAGGTCATGAGGTAAAAAAATATTGGTGTCTTGACACAAAAAATACATGTGAAATATAAAAGCTCTAGCACCAAGCGTTCAAATGTTAGGGCCAAGGTTAATGTTTTTGAGGACAAACTGATGGACAGGCCAAAATCTATATGCCCCTGTTCCAATTACAGGGACATAAAAACTTGCTAATAAGGAATTCCTGATGACACCTATATTTAGTCATTACATAATCATTTTCAATGATGTCTGTGACAGCCTACATGTGGTATTTTTTAAATATGTTTACTCTCATGAGACACGGAATGTCAATAATTGAGAAGAACGGTGTCCTAAGCTGACTAAAAAATGCAGCACTGTCCTTTTTTGTTCAAAAATACAGAAACTATAGGAAAACAACAAAGTACAAATCTTTAAAACAGAAAGCAAGAACTACAAATGATTTTAAGAACCCTGACGTGCCCAGGATGTCCAAGCACCAAAGAGATTTCATAGGCAACCTAGATATTAACACATTATTTATAAAAATGTAGTCACCAAAATGTTTTCATCAAAAATTTCTCTGAAATATTAATTCATTTATTGTGAAAAAAAGGAACTGTGTGTTTTAATTATCCAGTTTACTAAAAAAAAAAGATTATGAGAATTAGAGTACAAGAACAAGTGCATGAACTGTATATTTGTTTTGTATGCATGTACACATATGATTTCTATTTATTTTTTTTTTTTTACAAATAAATTAAGCATCCATGTACATGTATGTTTTAATGCACAGGTGATAATTGATTAAATAAAGTTATTTGAAAAATAATACATGTGTTTGTGTTTTAATTTACATTAATATATATGTGACCTTATAGCCAAAGGAAGAATCATGGTCTGGAGACAAGTCTTGGACTATGCCAACTGACTCTGTGTCTGAAGTGACTTTTTCAAGCAAGTCCCTTGAATGATCACATAAGGTGTAGTCTAAGACTGTACAATGAATGAAAATCACTTCTCTGTAAGTGCAACTTCATTATAAGTGTTTTAGCTGTATTCCACTGTATTAAGAATTCCTTAAAACCTGATTCTAGATTACAGAGATAGAGAGCTGGGGTATTAAATGTTACTCTTCCTAAATGCAAGACTTCTTCTTTACAGAGTTTCTTATCAGCAAGTTTTACTGTTCAAGCAAATTTTGAAATGAATTTATATATAACTTGTTTATAACTTACTCGCTCTGTTTGTAGGGTATACACTTCTCCTCTACCACCTCTTTTAGTCTTCCTAACACAAACTCTGAATTAGTTTCATTTGTTCGGAATATATTGTGTAAAGCCTGAAATACATAAAAAATTAATCATCTAGAGGGGAAAAAATTGAAGATAAATATTTCACAAAGAATGAAATAAAACACTGCAAACAGTCATTTTTTTTTTTAAATTGTGAGCAGCAGATTACATGCATTTTCATTGCCATTGCTGCCTGCAAAGCTCAGAAAACAATTCAAGACTTCTTTTTCATTAAAAAAAAATGTACATATCACTGTTGTGACTATGAGGAAAGCAAGCTAATGAGATTGACTTTGACTTTCCTAGGACATTCAGATGTACATGTATATATCTCTAGCTGTATGTGAAGATAACAAACCTTAACTTTCCTAGGGCCGTCAGATGTTGACTTGTTCTGTTTTTTGGGTGTCAGCATATTAAACATTCTCTCCAGACTTCCAAACACTGAGGCTTTCCTGGATTTGGGGGTAAAGTCACCTTCTAGTCCATCCGCGGAGGCAGCCCTGTTAGAGTTTATCACACGTTTTCTAAAATTTCACAATTTATGGATGTGTAAACCTTCATGACCTTTGACCTTGGTGGCCCTGTAATTGCCAAGCCAAGCTACTGAAGCTCATGATATGGTTTCTTTAAATTTACTCAACCTCAGTAACCAACATTTTCAGATCTAGTTACATTTTACTTTTAGCAAGTTGAAATTTGGTGTTTTCAAGACATCAGTCAAATTGTTTAACTGTATATCAGAAATACTTGAAATGAATTCTGATTCTGAATCATAAAATTTTTATTTATTAACCATACTTATGTAAAATGTATTCTTTATTTTCCATCCATTATTCATTATTCTAGTGAACAATATTCTTTTGACTTCAAATAAACTAGCCCTTCTAGTGAAATAATAAAAGCTTGCATAGCAGCAAAAAAAGCAGAAAAAAATCAATTATCTATGTCAATGATAATGAAAATGGAAACCTCAGCATTCTTACCTTATAAAGTGTATAGCAACATGCAAATGTAACTGTAATTTGTGTGTAATGCATAGTTTCAATTAAATGTGTCTTTGGTTAGACACCTGTGATAGTCTGCCACACATGCTATCATAAACATACCTCTTATTTGCACTAAGTGGTGTTAGCTGTTCTGGTAGTCTGTTGAGCTGAGAATCATAAGATCGAGATGGGGAAAGAGTTGTGTTCATCACTGAATTGTCTGATTTACCTGGGGATACTGTAAAATTAATGACAAGTACTTCAACTTAGAGAAGAGATTCACATTTTTGTTGAAAAGGTGTCTCTTTTTATTCTTATGGTACTAAATGATTTGTTTTGGGTTGTTCAAATTCTTTTATAGGGAACATGATGTTTTGATTCACAGAATGAATGACTGTAAAAATTATTTGAGGTGGGTGGAACACCTGTTCATTTTTTAATATTGGACTAGTAAGAGGCTGCACAGATGGGGGTAGCTGAATCATTTAATTTCAATGCAAGTGCTAAACTAAAACTTAATACTTGAAATTAATCAAGATTTTTTTTTTTTTTTTTTGATGTTTCATTTCCTTTTGACCAACATGCAAAAATTATCTTTCAGGAAATACAGTTTCTTCTACACAGCTTTCTTGTGAACAATGGCAATGGAAAATTTAAAAGACCAATATCCTTAATTAATGCATGTACATTCTGTATTGATAATTTAAGTTTAAATTATCTAGAATCAGTTATAGAAACAAACACTGCATTGGATTTCTTGAAGTTTCTTCAAATAAAAGTCTGAATCCTGGAGAAATTCTTGACTGGCTAAAATTTACTGCCATTCCACCTCCACCACTGCCTCCTTCCATGAAAGAGGCTTTAACTGGAATTCCCCTTAGGAATAACCTTAATGAAGTTGTGCAATATCTAACATTCTATATCATCCAAATAAAATCAGTCAATCTAAGTGAGTTTTTTAACTGTTTTTTACAAAAAGATATTTTATGCAGTTGTTCCAAGCTATTAATATTATGATTTTCACCATTATTCTCAGTTACTAAGTTTAAGTTGCTTGGACTTACATGTATCATCCAGTGATGTAGGTATTAACTGTTTGGCCATTAGTGGTGACCTAGGTTTGGAAGGTGGTATCAGCAGCTGTTGATAAGGTGTCTTTGCAGTTTTTGGTTTTGGGGTCTTTATACCTGGGGTAAGAGGAACAGCAAAGTTTTCTTTGTCATCTTTACTCTTAGAAGATCTCTCTCGTCTAGAAATAGCAGAATTTTTCTCATTTTCCTGCTCCTCCTTTGATGAGAATGGAAGTCTCTCTCTTGCTCTATTTCTTCCTCTGTCCTCACAGCCCCCATAGGTAGTGGGGCGGGGGCCTAGGTCTTTTTTGTTGCTATGGTTCACAGGAGATTCTATTCTCTCTGATGCTGCTAGTCTTGGTGAATACACAAGTTCATAACAAGCTGCATCATCTGCACTGTGACTTCTCTTGTCCTAAATCATAAATTAAAGAAATTTACTAGAAAGTTCATGTACCATTTGAACCATACCTCAGAATAATGAACGTTTGGTGGTCAGAAGTAAAATGGGTGTTACCCGACTTGTTCCATCATGGCTCCTGATTTTATTAAGAAGTCTAACAGGACGCCCTTTCATTTTCTTTTCCAGAAGGAGGAAGTAGGTGGCTGTTAGGTAATCAAACTTAAACTGCAAAACAAAGCAAAACAAATTAGGACTTCAAAACAAAGAGTTTGGTTTTCCAACAGAATGATTTTTCCCCCAAAATATGTGTAGATCTATGCACATGTCAGTAATTTCACATCTATTCTTAAAGACAGTCTTTATTTTAATACACATTACTAAACCTCAGAAACAGATGCTTCCATTTCTTTCTTCGTCTTTCCATAATGCACTGCCAACTCTGTAATGCAGTCTTCATCAAGGCATCTCTGTTTAACATATAAAATACCATTATTAAACGATAAAGACAAAGTACTGCACTGAGACAGCAGATAAGTAATTAAGACTTTTGTAATGAATCAATCCTGCCATCACCAAATTACTAATTCCAAAAGCATTTCATCTTATTATACCTTATATTTACTTTGCCATTCCACAGGGCACTGGACTTCACTCATTAGCCAGGAGTGGTTGAGAAGGTTCCGTATCGTGACACGTTTCTTAGGGTCGACTTGTAACATTGAGGTTATAAGTGATTTACTTTCCTCAGATAACCAGGAAGGTGTCTCATATTTGCCACTCTGAAATAAAGAGTGTGTAGAATATGTCAGAATTTGTCTTTTTCCATTGTAATTACAATGTACATGTACAGTACATATTCTTAACATGCAGAAACAAACACTTTAATTTATACTTAATAGTAGATCAAATCTCATTTCAAATAACAACGTACAGGAATTGAAAAATAAGTTATACTTGTATTACTTTGAACAAAGATCAACATATGCACCACAAATGAAGAAGTTTGATTTATTTTGTTTTCTATGTGTGATACACTAGGGATGACAAAATCTGCCCTTCATCAGAATTACTGAAGGATAAAATATACAGTAAAACTTGTGTAATCCGAACACCAATGGTTCCAAAGAAATTGGCTGGATTAGACCATATTCCTTTTTAGACAACATTTTATGAAATTGAATTTACTGAACGGGACTTAAAGTTAACATTGTATTAAGCAAGATTTTGGAATACACAACAAGTTTCACTGTACATGCATGTACACATATATGCAGCATACAAATTTAGTATTACATAAGAAATCCATAGATACACAAGGTGTGTGGTCAGATGCAGCATTGGAAGAAAGCTTAGCACTTGGGAATAAAATATTATCCTTAACCTTGCATCTACAGTCAAACTGATGAAATAATAGAATATACCCCACCAACAATGCTGATGAGGGAGGGAGTGGAGTATTACTAAAATCTATAAGATGTGTTATGTGAACTTATGTGAACCTAAACCAATACCAGTCTTCCTTTCACATTACCTGAATTTTTTTATACAGGGATGGGATTTTATCATCATCAAATGGAAGATAGCCACAGAGTAAGGCATACAGTAAAATTCCCATACTCCACAGATCAGCCTGAAAAACAAAACCAAAACTCCAGTAAGGCATGCAGTTAAAATTCCCATACTACACAGATCAGCCTAAAACAAAAACCAAAACTACAGTATTCTACAGCAATAAAGCATTGATCAATCATCATCTAGCACATATAGATAAACAAAACTGCATCTTTGGTAAAGGAAATTCTCATCACGGTAAATCTTACTACTGTCTTACCTCTGATCCCAGATATTCCCTCCCTGACACAAGCTCTGGGGCAGCATAAGCTGGACTTCCACAACAGGTAAACAGCTGACTGTCCATACCTCCCTGTAAACCATGTACATCTTACATTTTTATGTACATGTATTTAATTACATGTACATACATTTACATGTATGTACTCTTTTTTTTTTTTTGTTTATTTGATCTCATCTAGTTAAAATTCTTTTATTCTTGTTTCTGATCTTTGATTTCTGAGTAAATTCTAGAACAATATAATTTCGAAAGTATATTATTTATTATTTTCCAAAGTAATATATACAATAAAATTGTGATATGAACTTCAATTCTAAACAAGCAATGGCATCATTAACCTACCTTAGGTTTTGCACATAAACCGAAGTCAATAAGTTTTAAATTCTGATCCTCATCTAGTAACAAGTTTTCCTACAAAAAAATTTATATAGAAATTACATGTATATGCTTGACTGAAGAAAATGCATGATCTTATATACATGTATTTTGCCAAAGGGATTATTTTTTTAAATGGGAAATCATTTTACATGTATTTAATTACATTTTAGATTAGATAAAAGCATAAATTGCATGCCTTTAGATCAGATTGAATTAAATTTTAGATTCACATCCCCGCCCCTCCCTCTCAAATGCCCCGCCCCTTCCTCTAACAGTGCCCCACCCCTTGTTTTTTGGGGGGTTGGGGGGTTGGGGTAAATTTATTATCTTTTAGGGCCTACTCAATGAAAACAGTTGGCATGGATCACTGTTAAAGTTTAAGAGTTACCTCCCTTTTGTAGTAAAAGTTACATTGGCTGGAGCTATTTGTAACACAACATGTGGAGAAGCCAAGAAGGGAGAAAAATCCAGGAAAAAAAGTTTATATGTAGGAAAAAGATAATATGCCAGTAAAGAGAAGGCAGAAAAAGCAAAAATTATTTATCTTAAATTTTAATACATCTAGATACCATCAGCAAGTTTTACACAGATTTGAACAAAGTAAATGTACATGTATATCAAAACAGACGAAGAAAATAACATCTTGAAGTGATTGGGAGTTCTGTTATTTCGTATCAAAACAAGAACTTTGGTAGACTTTAGAGGATAACAGTGCTAAGGAAATGGTAAATTTTAGAACTGTTCAGCATAGACTATTCTAAAGAATATTTTAGACACCCTGTTTTGCAAAATTTTGACAAAAATGAAAAATTGGATGTTACATGTATAAGAACAGTGGAATTCTGTGATATTTCAGAGACAAAACAAAAGAAGTTGTTGGTCAAACTAAAAGGTATTTGGAGGAAAGTCAATGAGAAGTGGTTACTACCACATCCAGCAACAGTATGTGCATTTTATTGGGATCTAAGCACCATTTCATAGCAGCAGTTGTGTATATGCCGTATATGTGTACTTGTAAAATCATTAACACTGTAAATATTTCAGGAAGAAGTATCTTCTGCAGGCATTTCAAAGAATAAAAAACTTAAATCTATCCATATTGGCATGAAAAATGTGAATTTATGAACTTTTCCATGACTTTTTACTGTTAAGGCAGTTTCAAGCACTTTCCAAGGACTGGGTCTGAGTGGGTCAATATTAAAGCACTTTTTATGGTCTGTACAAACCCTGTTCTTTATTTTTAAATACTTTCACATAATATTGTACATCTTTTGTACTGTTAAGTTACCAGCTTCAATACATGTTATTTCTATTCTACATTTTCCTTCAAGGCATAGAGGGATTTTAAGGGTTCCAGATTGAGTGATCAGTTTTGTAAACTTTGGTAAACACTGGATTAGTATGCAACAAAGATATTTTTTGTATTAGAAGGTGGGGGGGGGGGGGGGGGTCCTTGATCTGTGAAGTTATATTATGATTTTGAAATACAGAACAAGTATGATTTCACCTGGACAATCAAAAATTGCTGCAGGTTACACAAAACTTAAATTCTGACTCTTTTGTCAACAGACTTACTGGTTTGAGGTCACGGTGGGCATATCCTTGACTGTGTATGTATGCTACAGCAGAAACAATCTGTCTAAAGAATATCCTAGCCTCATCCTCTGACAGCTTATCCTTGGATACAATGTAATCAAATAGTTCTCCCTCAGGACAATACTGCAAAAATAGAACAGTCTGATAAAGCATAAAATAAAAATGTGCATATCAGGGCTTTCAATATTTTTGGAGTGAAAAGGTGAATTTACCCATCTGAAGATCCTGTTTTTGAGTTATTTCCAGTAGTTATTTTGCCAATTATGAAATTTGAAGCAGTGAATTCCAAATATCAGTGAAACAAGGATAAATCACCTCCTTCTGTCCCTTGTTGAAAGCCCTGCATATACACTCCTATTTTCATAATTAGCTGATAACTGCATATCAAACTTTCTCCGTACTTCATTATATATCTTTTTAAAATACAGTACTTTTCTTTCTTTACTTTGTAATGATGCTTTTAAGGGTGCTTAAATTTGATTGCTTTTTTTTTTAAAGATATAAATATATGCTCCAACATAAAATATCAAAGTCCAAAATGTATACAACATTGAATGTACATCTATAATAATAAGTAAATATACTAAATATACGAAAGATTAAGTGTCTTCATTGTCTTGATTTTACAGTCAGGGTCTGGGTGACAAATATTTGTTTGGTAAGAAATCAGTTTTTATTTTCACAAATATTTTAGGTTTATGGTTTATCAAGTGACAGTGCAAAATTTTTTCTTAATTTTGTATTTTGCTTATAAGTCAAAGAAATCTAATCATTTAAGAATGTAATTTCCTAATCAAGGCAACAATTTGATTTTTGGACATTACCTCTAAAATCATGAAAAACTTGGTCTCTGTTTCAATTACTTGGTAAAGTTTACAGATGTGTTGATGACACAGGTCCTTCATAGCTTCAATTTCAGTTTTCACTCTTGGTAAATCTTCCTATGAATACAAAAACAATTAACATGTATAAAATACAATATTAAAAAAAGACCTGCAGAAAAAGTACCACAGACAGTCTGACAAAGAAAGTTAACAGTTCCATTCTAAATTAAGGATCGCTTGTGGATAAGGTAAAGCTATTTCCAACTGAATCATTGTATATTCACAAAAATACTTAATCTATATGTAAGTGGTTATCCCTTTCACACATTCAGTTACAATCCACTTACAGACTTGAACAGGTACATGCACAATGTACTTTTGTAATACTGAACACCAGGTTGAGGAAGACACTTACTCCAAGAGAGCGTTTGTCCATGATCTTGATGGCTACTTTTTCTCCAGTAAGTGCATGGTATGCTAACTTCACCTTTGCAAATCCACCTGAAAAATCAATCTTGACATCATTGTACTGTGAACATTTTACATCAGAACTTGCGATCATGTCCATTATTTACCAGCACATTGTAAAATGTTTATATTAAGTTCACTGAAGTAACTTAACTCATCATTTAGTTTGTTAATTTCTTTTTAAATATATATATATTATTTAAGCATTTCTAAATATTTCAAATATTTTAACATAAGATATTCAACCATGGTGTTAAAAAAAAAAAAATTATCTTAAGATTCTAATTGACATTGAAAAACTCTGTATCAAAAGTTTGCTATATGTTTTTATCAGGTGCATATACCTGATCCAATAGTTTCTCTCAGGTGGTACAAACCACGTAGCTCAGTGAACTGACTCATGGCACCAAAATGACATGTAAAATAGTCAGATAGTTATATGTGACCTGGAAAAAGAAATGTATCATGTATGAGCAGAAGGAAAGTGTCGACAATAAACTCTGACATTAAGTCACATTATTTCATTTCAACTTCATCCTCCAAGGCAGGAGTTGTAGCATTAAACGTACACACTCCTGCTGATTATCAATATATTTATAGCCCAAAATATTGTTTTGCACAATAAGTTTAAATACCAAACGGGCTCCCATCTGGGCAATTCGTCCCAACCTGACTTAAGTTAGGAACCCTACTTGTGTGTAATCTCAGCGAGATCCGTAGAGACTAAAAATTTTGGTCTGGTATCTCTACAGATCTCAGACCAGTATCACATAATCTCATTCGGGGTTTTGTGCCCGGACTTCGACCGCTTGTTTCGATTAATACGGGCTGAAATGAATTGGCTGTCCGCTTTAACTTTTTGCTTTGGACATCCTTTTAATTCCCTATCACCATAAAACTTTCGTTTCTTACCTCTGAAAGGTTTAAATCCATCAAAATATAAGGGTTGTTGATTTTTCATAGCAATAAGCTATTCGTTTAAACCTCCGATGCTGAAGAGTTCCAGCAATTAAGTCTGCTTCTAATACTTCATTCTACTAATTTTTCCTATAGAAATGAACCATAGTACGAAAAAGTTGAAGCGGACAGCCAATTCATTTCAGCCCATATTAATCGAAACAAGCGGTCGAAGTCCGGGCACGAAACCCCGAATGAGATTATGTGATACTGGTCTGAGATCCGTAGAGATACCAGACCAAAATTTTTAGTCTCTACGGATCTCGCTGAGATTAACTTGTGTGGGGATATGACAATAAGACAAACAAATCAATTCAATGTTCCCTTTTCTATAGTCACTACACTATGCAAATAGTATATATGTAATACAAAAACCATGCAAAATTTACAGTAAATCTATCACTTCGATTATGAACATCCAGCACTGGCAGTGATAAAAATTTTAAAACCGATCATTACTGATGAAACAAATAGTTTCCTCTTAACTTAACGGGTGGCATTACGACACACCTTACTCCTATACCACAATTTGCAACGCTACCTAAGGATAACATTAACTGTTAACAGGTCTTGTTTTCCTTGGGGCACCTGCGAAGTTTGAAAATGGCTCCTCTTTCTGCTAGCCAATGAAATTACTTGTAAGAGTACGAGAAAAAAAATTATGATGGAAAAAGCAAATTATGAAATATCCCATCTTTCTATTTTACTCATAGGAAAGAAAACACAACAATAAAAAAATATAGACTTACTCTAAAAATTTAGTGAATTTGTCTCGTGCAGGCGAGACTACATTTTTATCCAAGATGGCGTCCGACGAAGAGGTGAAACAATATTTGAATTGTTTATTTAGGCATTATGTAGTGCGATAAGCATGTGTGAAGCTTTTGTCCTTGTTATATCAATTTGAATGATAATTGAAGTATACGTTATTTTTCACATACGGAGAAAATCAAGTTTACAAAGATGTGGACTGCTTATCCATGTTATTGTTTTAATCAGGTCCAGCACAATGTCTTAGCCAGTTGTTAGCTATAGCTTGAATTAGCTATAAAGCTTTATTAATCTATTTAGAATAGTATGTTTTCATTAACATTAATCAAAAACATGATTAATATAGATCTATGTAAAGTAACGAACTGAGATAATTTAACAAATGTTCCATTTTGATAATGAATATTGTGCAAAATTCTCATATCTGAAATCAAATCCGTAGACTTCATTTAAGAATCTTTATGCAATATGCACACATGATTTTTGCAAGGTTTTATATATAATAATAAATCAAGCAAAAATCAAAAAAGGTTTTATATATAAAGAAAGCAAAAACTGAAAGGAGGAACTTTATATCAGGCATTTTAAACAGGTCCAGCACAATCTCTTGATTTAGCTATATAGCTTGAAAAAGCTATATAGCTTTATTAAGCTATTTAAAATAGCTTGATAAAGCTATTTCTGTGCAGTTTTTCAGAAAAATGTTTTTTGTAAGAAATAGACAAAAAGTCGCAAGTATTTGACTATTCATATATGTACTATGGGCTATCAAAACAACAACAGAAATCAAAGATAGTTCTAACACTGCAACATTTGAATACTTTTAAGCAAAAAATGAATTTCCATTGTTTGAGTAACTGTACACTACCTTGTGTGCGTTGAGGCATGGATAAATATGATTGCTTCTCATTGTACTGAATTATTACCAATCAATTATCTTGTTGACCATAATTGGCCTCTTTTATAATTTCAATGAAGAAGTAACTGTATCAATTGCTTTATATAGCCCCAAAACTTTTAGAACTTTGAGTACAAAGTCTCTTAAGGAGACGCAATTTGATGAGTGATTTTTAAATGCATTATTTTCAGAAGAGTTCAAGGTTAAATATTATCACTGTACCAGAGTGCGACTTTTTGTGCATGCTGAGAAAATAACACATTTAAGAAAAAAGTATGATAAAATAGCTTAATCAAGCTATTCTGAATAGCTTAATAAAGCTATATAGCTAAATCAAGCTATATAGCTTTTTCAAGAGATTGTGCCCGACCTGTTAAACAGGCTGGGACCTATCTCCCAAATAGGAATTAGGATAGAATATCCCAAATGGATTATTATGACCCAAACGGGCTATAAGTAAATATCCCATACCTGCTATAGTCTGTGGTATTTTTTATCTGATGGTAGAGATACTTGTTTCCACATGATGTACAGTGCAGTGGTAAAGAACAATATACCTAAACTTAGTGTTGTCAAATCGGTTGAAAATCAGAATCGATTAATCGGCAGCATCGGTTGACTCTAACCAACTGATCATCGGCCAATAATCGAATCGGTAACCATTTTTATTAAATATGCACTAAATTCTATATAAAATGTAGAAGTTTAATTTTATAATAATGTAAGTAAAGGTGTATTATACAGATTAAAACTCTGAATACAGTATGCAGTTTGATTAACAATTTCAGTAATACAGATTTTTGCATCATTAGGATTTACTTGACCTGGGAAAAAAAACCTTGACAGAGTTTTAATTAACATGATCATCTAGAATATGGAATTAAATTTTTTAACTGTTATTAGACAGTTGATATAGCAAATACATGTAATTCCGTATGAAATGAAAGGTGAATTTCCCCCAAATACTGATAACCAATATGTTTTATTTATACAAGCAGTTTAGTTTCTTCAGTTTAGAAATACAAATATCATTATTATCTTATAATCTATTTTTATAAATTCAAGCATAGTTGTATTTATTTGTAAGGAAACCAACTTTTCATTTTAAACCAGATTTCAAGTATGTTAAAATGGTAAATGACAACACTTGGAGGATATATATGGAAGATATATATTGATAACAAGATCTTTTTCTTGAAATAAAAGTGAGAAAACAATAAAAAGATAAGTGCTGTAATATACCGATTATAATCGATTGTTAAATATCAAATCGATTGTCTAAAATCGACAGCCTTTCCGATCAATTATCGATTATAAATCGATCATCGTGACAACACTACCTAAACTGTACTCCAAAAGAAAATTTGCATGGTTTTCATTCCTATTTATCAAAATAGGTAATTTTCTAAAAGATGAAGTCTGACACAAAGTTTAGTCTAAGAGAGTGCTATAGACTTTATTTTCAAATAAAAGAGCACTGTTTGTTATACCCCTGCTAAACAGTCCTTATTAGCTCACCTGAGCTGAAAGCTCAAGTGAGCTTTTCTGATCACATTTTGTCCGGCGTCCGTCTGTCCGTCTGTCTGTCCGTCTGTCTGTCTGTAAAACTTTTCACATTTTCAACTTCTTCTCAAGAACCACTGGGCCAAATTCAACCAAACTTGCCACAAAGCATCCTTGGGTAAAGGGGATTCAAGTTTGTTCAAATGAAGGGCCACGCCCTCTTTCAAGGGGAGATAATTAGGAATTAGTGAAAAAATAATGGCATCATTTAAAAATCTTCTTCTCAAGAACCACTGGGCCAGGAAAGATGAAACTTATGTGGAAGCATCCTCAGGTAGTGTAGATTCAAGTTTGTTCAAATCATGACCCCCGGGGGTAGGGTGGGGCCACAATGGGGGATCCAAGTTTTACATAGAAATATATAGGAAAATATCTTTAAAAATCTTCTTCTTAAGAACAGCAAAGCCATGATTGGTCATATTTATATGGAAGCATCCTCAGGTAGTGTAGATTCAAGTTTGTTCAAATCATGTACCCCGGGGATAGGGTGGGGCCACAATGGGGGATCCAAGTTTTACATTGAAATATATAGGAAAATATCTTTAAAAATCTTCTTCTTAAGAACAGCAAAGCCATGATTGGTCATATTTTTATGGAAGCATCCTCAGGTAGTGTAGATTCAAGTTTGTTCAAATCATGACCCCCGGGGGTAGGGTGGGGCCACAATGGGGGATCCAAGTTTTACATAGATATATATAGGAAAATATCTCTAAAAATCTTCTTCTTAAAAACAGTAAAGCCATGATTGGTCATATTTATATGGAAGCATCCTCAGGTAGTGAAGATTCAAATTTGCTCAAATCATAACCCCCGGGGGTAGGGTGGGGCCACAATGAAGGATCCAAGTTTTACATAGAAATATATAGGAAAATATCTCTAAAAATCTTCTTCTTAAAAACAGTAAAGCCATGATTGGTCATATTTATATGGAAGCATCCTCAGGTAGTGAAGATTCAAATTTGCTCAAATCATAACCCCCGGGGGTAGGGTGGGGCCACAATGAAGGATCCAAGTTTTACATAGAAATATATAGGAAAATATCGTTAAAAATCTTCTTCTTAAGAACAGTAAAGCCATGATTGGTCATATTTATATGGAAGCATCCTCAGATAGTGAAGATTCAAGTTTGTTCAAATCATTACCCTGGGGATAGGTTGGGGCCACAATGGGTGATCAAAGTTTACAGAGGAGTATATAGGAAAGTCTTTTTCTCAAGAACAGAAAAGCCATGATTAGTCAAATTGATATGGAGACATCTTTGGGTAGTGTAGAATGAAATTTGTTCAAATGAGGGCCCCCGGGGGTAGGGTGGGGCCACAATGGGGGATCAAATTTTTACAAATGAATGTATGGGAAAAAAATCTGCTGCTCAAGAACAACAAAGCCATTTGTTATATTGATATGAAAGCATCATCAGGTACTTTAAAATTCAACACCCCCCTCCCTGTAAACTTTTCAATACTGTACTGATTTTTGCTTTTTTTCCTAGCCAATGTGCTCAGGTGAGCGATGTGGCCCATGGGCCTCTTGTATAATTTCTTACTTTAAAAAGTCCAACAGTTCAACTGTTTTCCCCGACTGTCGGTCCAGGAACTATGAAAATAGACTGTTGAAAAAGAATGTTGCCCGCTAACGTCAAATGGCGCTAAATTGTGTTATCTTTTCCTCATTCAGCAAACCTCGGCTGATTCGGGTAACCATGAGGTAAATGTAATCAGCTGAGGAGTGCCGAGTAATTTAAACCTGTCGTTAAGATAAACAGAAGTTTTGCTGCGGCAAATGAGGATGAAATCCAGGTGATACTTGAAAGTAGGGACAGTAAAAATACAAAAAATGTTGTGAAAACGGCTGAAAATATTCTCGAATATCTGTTGACTCTGTTTTTATTTTCTTTTAAATTTATAAATTTGATTTAATAGGAGTATAACAAAACAGTTGTTGACAGGAGTATCGGGAAACAGTCGATCTGTTGGACCGGAGTGCATTCTGTTGCCCACGGCCTACGGCCTTGGGCAACAGCTTGCACTCCGGTCCAACGGATTGACTGTTTCCCTCTACCCCAGTCAACAACTGTATAATGTTTTTATGCATATATTTGAGCACCATACAGTCTAGTCAGAAAAATCTGTGTTTTGGGACAAGCTGTCACCACAGTTAGAATACGTCCCATATATTTGCAATGTAGAAAATCGAAGCAGATCCGAAATGATTTTTAAGTATACAAAAGGAGTTGCAATGAAAATAACTACCAAATTAATCATAACAATCCTTTTTGAGATTGCATATGCCTTTTAACCTAAAAAATAATCCATATAAATTTTCTGAAAGTTTTTTTTTGCTTCAAATTTACACGCCATGTTGACATTCGGAACTCTCTGGATTGATCATAGTAAATACATTGAGTTCGAGTTATCGCCTGTGTTTATTTTGCTACATTGCCAATACACGGAACAATTTCTATCGTTAAACCGGGTCTGTAGGACAATATCATTTTAACAATAGAACGTTCTATCTACATATTACAGTCTGGATGGAAATCTGACCAATATTTATGAAACAATACCATGTTGGATAGTATTTGAACACATGATCATGCAAGTGGTTCAAAATGCTGGAGCAAAGCTAAGTTTCTCGACGAGTGAGAACACTAAAGATGTTTCTTAACTTTGAAAGCATTTAAATGGAAATTCCTATTGTATATAAACAAGAGACTTATTGTCCACCTGCTGTACACCCACTTCTACAATGTATTGGGGTGTTGCAGCGTACATTTCAGTTGCCTTTTATATATTTTTATATATTTGGGTCCCTAGGTAAATCCTGATCCCTCAGAAAAAGAAATGTATTTTCAAATTTCTCATACAGAACATAAAACTAAAATTTATATTGTCAATTCGGAATATTTACTTATAGCCCATTTGGGTCATAATACCCGTTTGGGATATCATATTCTGTTTGGTGGGAGATTGGTCCCAATCTGTGAAAGATTACAGGAGAAATGTCTCAGGATAAGCACAGTTTTCATTGTTAATTAATTAATTCTACCTTCTTTCAAAATGCTCATTCTCCTACTGTTTTGATCCGATTTCTATAAGACTTGGTACATAAGTAGATACACAAAGATTCCCAGTTCAGTGTATTGGGTTTTGATTTAGATGAAGAGTGTTGCAGTGTTTACAAAAAATAGGAATAATGTTGAAATTCTTTCAAAACGCTACTCAGAATTCCTCTTATATATTTGGTCTAAATTAAGTTCAGGTTCTTCTTTTCTCTTTCTTATTGTAAGTACAAACCAATAGAGCTACAGTCTCAACAGAGACTTCTGGTTCAAATTAACTAACTACAGCAGAAAGACAGAAATATTTTGATGCTTTTGATTTATAGTATGCTGATTGTGTACATTTTCTTTTAGGATGATTTGGAAGCTTTGAGACTTGCAGCATTAGCTTCTTTGAAAAGGAAGAAGGATGTTTCCACAGACAGCCAAACAAAGCAGGAGTCTCAGTCACTACCACCATCTAGTCAAGTATGTAGGAATCAGGACATTAAGTATAAAATTATAGTTTAAACATTTCACAAAAGTATCAATGATATTGTACAAGTTGCCAAATGGATATAGACAAACTTTTGTTTAAATGTTTCAGGTAACCTCACAAAGTACAAGTTACTCAGCATACCAGCACCTTAATCAACCTTTGCCAGCCCAACCCCAGCCTAACCAGTTCTACCAGGGTACAGTGAGAGGGAGGGGAAGCAATAGACGTCCATTTAGGGGAGGAAAAGGTAGAGGAGGTAGTTGGAACAATGCACAGTCTGGATCAAGATCTTGTTTGATAGTCTTGACTCAGGAAGAACCAAAAAAGGAGGAGATTAGGGCAGGGTTACCTGAAAATACAGGGTCTCTTGATTCAAGTCAGCCAACCAAGCCTAAGCTGTTGCTGCCACAAGATAAATGGGCATCCTTAGGACTTTCTGATGAAAATAGTCAATCCTCTATTTCAAGCCGGCCAAAAGGTAACAAAAATGGAATATGTAAATTCAACTTCACATAATTTTGCAACAAGCTGTCCTTGGTATTAGAAAAGACAATGGATTCAGATATATACATATGAAAGAGACCATAAACTTTTAATTTAAAATTGACAAAGGTTTAGTAGAAAAAAAATATTGAGAGATTAAAGTATGATTATGTAAGTCGAAAATCTTTTTGATTAGTAGAATAGTGCTACCAAGTAAATTTCTAAAACATTATGATTAATGGTTACCGGGAAATCAAAATAATGACATTGTAGTGTCAAATGCTAAAAAACCGTACCAGCTATCAAAAGAAAAGCAAAATCTTGCTTTTTGCTAAGGCTGTTCTTTCTATACTGCCCTCTAACTGTTAACTGAAGTTATAGAGGGTCAATGAACCCAGTGATTGAAGGCCTATTAAACAGTTTTGTTAATCTAAAGTCTCAATTTAATCTTCATTTACTCTCTTTATATATGGTAATATACCCCTGGCAACAAAGTTGTAGAGGAGGTATTCTTGAATCTGTATGTCTGTTCCACAGGCCTTTGGATCGCTTAAATCTGACTTTAAAAAATTGGGGTGTATAAAAAAGATAAAGGTATGGAACTCCTTACATAGGGTACCCACTTACGCTAATAAAATACTTTTAAATTGAATGCTCTAAAGTTTTACTTTCTGTTCATATCTATTCATATATAATCAATCTACATTACTATCAAAGTTTATTTCCGAAATTCCATGTACTTCCCGAGATATGGTGAAATCAATTCCAAAATTGACCTACTTTTATTTACTCGACATTAGCTTGGGCCCTTGTTATTCACATGTATACAGACAGTGTTGGAACTGCAGCAAATAGTTGCATAGTATTTGCACAATCTTTCAACATTTTAAAGTTGATTTTTTTACTCCAGCGTAAGGTTAAGTCAATAATAATTCCTTTCACCAAAAAAAATTAGAAAACGTTTGCTTCAACAACTTCACAGCCATGTTGTTTATTAATGTAAAAAGAACTACAGGTAACTCTTGATGGCTTGAACTTCGATCTCTCGAAGTTCTTGATCGCTCGAAGTGAGTCTCCGGTCCCAAATTTTTCCACTATATAACTAAGCAAATTTTCTCTTGATTTCTCGAACTCTTGATCTCTCGAAACCCTTGATCCCTCGAAGTCAAAATGCAGTCCCGCTATGCATATTCTATTAGAATTTACCCTCGATACCTCGAAGTGGCTATGTGTAGACAAGATTATATAATTAGCACCTTTACCTGGACATTTAAATGGCCCCAGGCAGAAGACGCGGGTCTCGAGGGACAGAATGTTTATTCAGGTGTATGAGGCGCCGTTTTAATATTTTTAAGGTATTTTCTGATATCAAAAAATGATTTTTTGATATCAGAAATTCGAATTTTTGATATCAAAAAATCATTTTCTGATATCAGAAAATTTATTTTTTGATATCAAAAAATAAGCGAGATTTTTTGATATCAAAAATTCGAATTTCTGATATCAGAAAATCATTTTTTGATATCAAAAATTCGAATTTCTGATATCAAAAAATCATTTTGTGATATCAGAAATTCAACTGGATTTTTTGATATCACAAAATCAATTTTTTGATATCAGAAATTCAACAAATATAAGTGTTTAGGCTCATACAGATAATCTATTCTCCCCAAGATTGATTTCACAGAAGTAGGGTTCCCCTGTGTTTGGGTTTTGTAGTATTTTCTATAGAATTAGTGGAAAGGCGAACTTGTATATGTTACAAAATGAGGGTTACAAGTTTCGGTGTTTATGATGTAAAGAGAACTTACTGAATGCATAAAGTGTTAATTACTCTATTCATTTCTACTGTCATTTCCTACGAATCTCTTGTCTTTACAACTCAAGGGGGCTTCAAGACTTATTTGGAATTCGGACATTTCGAACTTATCAGCATTGTAAATGCATGTATCAATTTACGTATATTCATTTATTTCCCTGCATTAATCTATACAAAAAGTTTATTAAGAAAACACAACGCTTTAGGCTAGACAATAAACTATGAAGTGATAACACTAATCACAGTAAAACAACAAACAATGTTGCAGCGGGATCGGTGTTCAGGATGACACTAATACGAGTAAACTAACCATTGATACGGAATAAGGGAGCATTCATTAATGTAAGTTCTATTTATTTCACTCATATTTTCTGATATCAAAAAATCGATTTTTTGATATCAAAAATTCGAAAGCATTTTTTGATATCAGAAATTTATTTTTAGATATCAGAAATTTATTTTCTGATATCAAAAAATCGATTTTCTGATATCAGAAAATGATTTTTTGATATCAAGAATTCGATTTTCTGATATCAGAAAATCTACATTAATTTCTGATATCAAAAATTTGATTTCCTGATATCAGAAAATCATTTTTTGATATCAAAAAATCGAGTTTTTGATGTCAGAAAATCATTTTCTGATATCAAAAATTCAAATTCTTGATATCAAGAATTATTTTTTGATATCAAGAATTATTTTTTGATATCAAGAATTCGAATTATTGATATCAAGAATTCTTTTTTTGATATCAAAAAATACCTCAAAAATATAGAAATGGCGCCTCATACAGGTGACACTTATGCTGCAAGGTGATAATTGATTTATAATGAATCATATTTTGCCTATATGCTATTAAAATAATTATCATCGACTGTTTTAAGATAATTTAGAGACGCAGTGTCATTGAAAAGTAGTAATTTATTAACAGACAAAACACTAATTTAATTTTTATTTCGAGTCAGTGTCAAAGTTAAACGAAATATGAAAAAAGCAGAAACAGCCTCAATGTCAATATGACGACTTTTATTGCGGACAAATACTTACAGAACTGTGTTCAATGATCATGTTTGGAATAGAAAAAACTCTATACGACGCTGTAAAATGTCGTTTTCATGTAACGAATGCGTAGTATGATGTCCGTATTACAAAGAATAAATAAATATACATGATATGACGATATACATTTTTTGCTTTACTCAGTTTAATGAAATATTCATCTGAATTACGAAAAAATATCGTTGTTTTATAAAAACCACGTGTAAAAGGTTAGCACTGCATGAAAATTATTACATCCGATAAGACTAATTTTAAAACCTGTCAACAAACCCAGAAAATTCCGGACTCTTGAAAACTCGAACTCTTGATCTCTCGAAGTTTTTCCTCGGTCCCGCGGACTTCGAGGTTTCGAGAGTTACCTGTATGATTGAATGAAATTTTCCTGGAATGTATAGTATACCTTTTGATTTTTTCAAAATTATACTGCTAAAATGTTGGTGGTAACTAAGTAAGACCATATGATCAAATCAAATAAAATTTTGTAGAGATTGAGTGCTAATAAACAAATATTCAGAGTATAGAATAAATTCCGGGAAGAATTCGGCTCGTCATTCCCGCTTTACAATTAGTGTAACTATTCAGAGGCCCAAGCTAATTTTGAGTAAAAAAAATAAGGTCAGTTTTGGAATATGATTTCAGCATATCTCTGGAAGTATACGGAATTTCGGAAGGAACTTTGGTAGTAACGTAGATTGTTTATATGTGAATAGTTATTAATAGAAAATAAAGTTTTAGATCATTTGATATAAAAGTATTTTATTGGCAAATGTGGGTACCCTATGTAAGGAGTTCCATACCTTTATTTTTTTTAACATCTAATTTTTTAAAGCGATCTAAGGGCCTGTGGTCTGTTCATTTCTTTTTATGTCTGTAAAGTGTAAACAAAAGATTAAGCCCAGAGTTTAGATCACCTTCTGGCTTATCTCTAGGGGTTTCCAATCAGACTTGCAGATGTGCTGCATCTGTGGATACGTAAGGAGATAATTGATTTGATTGTGCCCATGTGGATGTATGGGTCATGTTAGGAAAACTCTAGTGAAGTACAGTTGAACTATGGTATCTTGAACACTGATATCTCGAATACTGTTGATATGTTGAAGTGATTTGGAAGTTGCAACTGCTTATTCTTTAAGTAATTTACCCTCATTATCTCAAAACCTCTGATGTCTCAAAGTTTTTTCTTGGTCCCATTGAACCCGAGATAACAGGTTTGACTGTATTTGACTTTGTACTGGTTTGAATAAGTTAAATGCAATATTTTTTCCATTATATAGATAAGTTTTCAAGATATGATGACACAGACACAGACTCAGATGAAGGATCTGAGGCCCAGGATTCAACTGACGAGGAAGAAAAAGACAATCACAGTGACAAAGAAAATCAGAAAAGTCTCTCAAATGTGGAGGAGACAGAAAATAGCCCTGAAAACGGACATAATGATTCGAGGTCATCTTCTCCAGACAATACAAGAAGACGACGTGAATCTGACTCTTCAGGGAGAAGGCATTCAGAGTCACCTAAAACAACTAAGAATCAAACAGAGGAAAGTTCCGTGAGTTCACCTGAGAGATCTACCAGCAGCACTTCTTCAAGATCAAACTCACAGGCCAGTAGACATTCACGAGAAAGTTCTCCTTCAGAATCAAGACCAAGTTCTCGTGCTAGTAGGTGTTCCAAAAGTAGTTCACAGTCTGCTTCAAGACCAAGTTCGCCAGTTAGAAGACATTCTAGAGACAGTTCACATTCAGGTTCAGTATCAAGATCTGCCCAGATAAGATCTCATACTAGCTCGAGAGGATCTCGTAAAAGTGCCTCTTTATCACCATTTCAAAGACAAAAGAATGTGACCTCATCATCACAAGTGTCAGGAGATTTCAAAAGTGCAGATAGAAGCTTAGAAAGACAGGGAGACTCGAGAACTTTATCTCACAAATCTACTTCTCCATCTTATTCTCCATCAAGAAAGAGATCATGGTCACCAAAACTATACACAGCAAGATCAAGATCAAAGTCAAGAAGTCACTCCAGAGGACATTCCCCAAGAAAACTACCTAGAAGCAGAAGTAGGTCATACTCTCCCAGAAGAAGAACAAGTGATAGGTCACCCTCTCCATATGTTAAGAGACGAAAGTCATTTTCAAGAAGTCGATCACGTTCCCCCTACAAAAGACCATTATCTCCATTTCAAAGATATTTAAGTAGATCAAGGTCAAGGACACCAAAGGGTGCTTACAGACGAAGTAGAAGTCCGTCACCAAGGAGAAGCAGGGACAGATCCTTTTCTCCTAGAAGTTACTCTCCAAGACTTCGTAGGCAGAACAGATCTCTCTCACCTGGGCGAGGAAGTAGGTCTCCATCTCTGTCTAGACAAAGGAATAGATCTCCTTTGGTGCGAAAGAGAGGAAGATCTAGAAGTAGAACAAGAAGTTCATCTTTGTCTCCTGCAAGAAGAGAAAGACGACCATTAAAAAGGACCAGAAGTCGATCAAGGTCATTTTCACCTAGTAGACGAGGAAAACCTTTTAGAAGGTCTAGAAGTAGGTCATTTTCACCAAGACGATCTCAGTATTCACCTTTTAAGTCAAGATCACCACTAAGAAGGCTCCCATCTCCTAGGAGAAGGTCAAGATCACCATTACCAATGACTGAGAGAAATTTTTATCGCAGATCTCCTTCTCCTTACTACAGACGATCTGTGTCACCCCATAGAAAAAGAGACAGGTCACTATCACCTGCAAGGAGAAACAACTGGTCTCCACGTTCTAGCAGGAATAGGTCTTTAACTCCCAAAAAGGAGATGCGTCATTCTCCTGCCAGTTATTCTTCATCTCCATGGAAAAAGGAGCCTAGGTGGAAAGAATCTGGTCAGAATGAAAAATCAAAGTCAAGCATCGTTGATAAAATGCTAGAGATAGCTGGACAGCCTCAAAGAGGAAAAATTGACATGAAAGATTTGTATAAAGATTCAAAAAGAGATGATAGAAGAGGAGAAGATAAGAAGTATGTAAAAGAAAAAGACCAGAGGAAGCCAGTTCATGAAAGAATCAGTGTTACTAAAAGTATTAGTGATAGGAGTATTAATGATCAGAGCAAGCAAGTTAGTGAAAGAGTAAGTGTTAGTAAAAGTGTCAGTGAAAGAAGTATTAATGACAGGGAAGTTGTTGGGAAGAGCATAAGTGAAGGAGCATATGTTAGTAAAACTGCTACAAAAATTTCAGACCCAAAGGACATGGAGTTGTTTGAGGCCAGGAAAAGAAAATTTGAAACATCATCAGAGGTTAGTGTTGCAAAGAAAACAATATCTTTAAAAGGTATTTTGCCAAAGAAAAAAGACAAAAACAAGAGAGGAAAAGGGGAAGAAAATGGATCTAAAAGGACTAAATCATCTGATTCAAAGGAGGAAAAAAGCTCCAAGGATCATAATAATGAGAGAAGTGCAAAGAAGATGGGAAGTGAGCCTAGTAGAAGTGCAAAAATTACAGTTGATAAACGGAAAAGTAGAGAATCTATGAAGTCTATCAAGACAAGTGATGATGAGGATTCAGATGAAAGCATAAGAAGACATGCAATGATAGATGACTCTGAAAGTGAATCAGATGAGGAAATATGGAGGAGCAAAAAGTCAGCTAATTCTGAGAGAAATCAAGATGATATAGACCGTGAGCGGCGGAAAAGACTATTGGCAGCTCGAGAGAAAGAGAGGGAAGAATACAGGGCACAGAGAGAGGAAAGAAGGAAAAAAGAGGAAGAGGAAAGAAGGAAAAAAGAGGAAGAGGAGAGGAGGAAAAAAGAGGAAGAGAGAAAAAAGGAAAAAATGAAGTGGAAAAAGACAGGAGAAGAAAGAGAAGAGGAGGAAAAAATACGGAGAAGGGAAAGACCACAAGAAAGTGCAATGGTGAAAACAGATTCTAAAGTGAAGGAGCATAGGCAAAAAAAATTTACAGAATTAAAAGGTAGTGATGATGAGGGAGATGATGTTGTGTATAAATCGAGACTAAAAACAAGTGTTGTTTTACCCAGCAGAAAAGCTGATGTTTCTAAAGGCCAAATGTCTTCAAGAACAATTGTAACACGAGACGATGAGGAAACAGTTGATGTCACAAAAATCAGTCTGTCGAAGACTGATGCTAGGCATTTAATTCGATCTGTCAACAGAGGAAATAAAGAGGATGACAACAACATGGAAGAAGATGAAAATGAGGAAGGCATGAAATCATCATCCAGGACTGAAGGCAAAGCAAGTCCAGTAGTGATATTCCAGTACGACACAGGTAAACATGATAAGCATTATTTACATAAATTTTTCTTTTGTCTTAAAAGGCACTTTATATTGGAATGTTAATGAGTTTTTGATTAGTCAGTTATTGCCCAATTTAACCATTCATTGACCAAAAAAAAATTTACTTGATAAATCATCATAAGACCAAGATTGTGACAAAATTCAGATTTTTTAAGCATTGATTTTTTATTTTTGGATGTGCTGACAAATTGTATACCCTATGTTAAAATGTTTTTGATGTTTTTCAATCTTGCAGTCAAAGACAAAGCTAGTCTCTCTGAAGAAGGTTCTTCAAGGCGGTCAGTTCATGCTCGGCTTGGTCTTCCAGTTGACATTAAAAAAGTCAAAAAGAGCAAAAGAACAGTGCGGGAGGTGTCTCCTGAACTACAGAGGAAGACATCTACACACAAGAGAGCAGTTCGGGAGGTATCTCCTGAACTGCAGAGAAAGACATCTACACACAAAAGAGCAGCCTTTATAAGTACCAAAGAGGATGCTTCAGGTAAATTTCCAGGCTGTCCAAAATAAAGTTATGGGATATCCATTTTCCAATAATTTTTTTTTGTTATCTATCTGTCTATTGTCTTCACTATTCATTTCTTTTGGTTGTAAATTGGAATTACATGATGGAAGATCAAAACATCTCAATTCTAGCAGAGATCAAAGTTTCATAAAGATGCAAAATCACACTAAGAGATTAGAGATCAAATGTGTCCACTACCATGTGAATTTTGCCACCACTGATAGACATGTATTGTTATAAACACATCCTGCTCATAACATACAACTGACTAAAAATAATATAATAAAGGCAGAAAATTTTCAATTTCACTGGTCAGTTTGGTCATTAAGGAGGCTGGGGGGTCAACAAATTAACCATCAGATATAACTTAATTTTTTAGATATGATATCTTAAGCTGTCAACTATCATTTGGCAAACAAAAATTTCATACATTTTAGTTTTAAAATTTGATCATTTTTGTATATCCTTATATGGAGCTCTTCTAAAGGAGATCAGTATAGTCTGAAAATGGCCACAACCACCCAGCCCTCTTAAAATTCATTGTCAATGCAGGACCAGTGTGTTTGCAAATATTTGGTCAAATTTAACAACCTTAAATCAATTGGTCAGTATAGGCAGTAAATTTTTGTAGGAGTAATAGGTTCTTTTCATCTTTTCAGCTGGAAGTGGTGACTTGGATGCTAGAATCAAACTCATCAAAAGGAGGAATGCAGAGATTGAGAGAAGAGAGAGAGAAATAAAAAAGGACAAAGAGATTTATGGTTAACATACCTTGGTATTGAAGTTTAATAGCTATTGTTTGACAATGTAAATTAGAATTTTGGAAAAGACATTGTAAAAGAACATGGTGTTGACATTTAATACACTAAGTGTATATAAAATGAATTTGTAGAGAATGAGTGATTGGAGCTTGATTATGTTAAGTGAGTAACTGCGATAATGCAAAAGATTTTTGTATTGTACGTGTATATGAATAATGATATTTAAACATGTTAAAGATTGTCTCTTTTAAAATTCCTGTTCTAAAAGAGTAAATAAATGTAACAGTGGTCTTGAAGTTGGTTGTTAATGTTTATGTTGACTTAAATGTGTTGATAACTAACTCACCTTGTACGTTGAGCAGCATGAATAGGAAAATGTTTAATATGAAAGGTGCATTTATAGAAACTAGTTAAACACATTATAAATGTTTCTGTATGTTATCTGTATATTTGTTTGTAATTTGTATGGTTTTCTGGCTGGCTTGACACACAGTAGCAAGTCATTTTAATGGCTTCAATATGTTTTTAAGTAACCAAAAAAAATTTTATGATAAAAGACATTTTTTCTGATTCCAAATTTTGGTTTGCAGGTTTATTATAAATGATGCTGTTTTTTTTTTGGATTTTTTTCTTTCTTTCTTTCAGAAAAAAGAGTGTTTCAACTGTTTCAAGCCAGCTTTGATGTTATTGTTTAGGGTTTGGTTATGAATAAGTTTTAACGTTAGATAAAAATCAATCAAGTACAGTAATTAAAGACAATAGTCATCATGTTATAATCATCGTGGTGTACATTTCTCAATATTACTTAATTGTGTATGTATGAAAGACGTTCATACTAAAATGTAAGGTGCCAAATTTTTTTTTAATGGGGCAGCATGTGAAATATGTGGAAATTTTTTTAAGGACATATTTCTCGCACATTATTTCTATAGTATTTCAGTTTTGAGGTTTATTTCATCATGTTCATTATCCAAATAATGTTTATCTCTAGTGTATTCTCATATATTAATATCAATTTAAACAAGACTGAATATATGTACAAAGATTTTTTAAAAGAAGATATCATATTCCGCCCATATATGAAGTAAAAATTCCTGCACCATAGTAATTTTATTTCATGCTTTGTTAAAAAATGAATGATGATACAGTCATCTTTGACATAAGTTGTGTCTTCTTTTCTCAAAATTTTACAAAAAAATGTGTATCGACCAAAATATATTGCTACTAACATATTTCATTGTTTCTAGTTCAAAAAAATGGTTGCTAAAAGTGCTAGAAATCGTATGAGAACTATTTATTTAAATGATGATTTACATTTTTGTTAATAGATTAATGTAAAGGAAATGATTTGCAGGGATTTAAATTTTTCAATCATGCACACCAAGTTTAAAGAAGTCTAAGCTAGTAAGTTTTTGAAAAGGAGTACTTCCTAGATACAAATTTAAGTGTCTTTATTGTTTTTCATGTCTAAATTTGTTGTCTAACTCAGTGCCAGTCTGCCTGACTGTTCTTTAAGAGTTTCAGTCCAAGCAGGGATCTCAAATTTTCAGTTATTTTTTGTGAAAAGTGCTATTTCTGCTATATGTAGATTTCAATATTTCTTTCATCAAAATGTATTATTTACATTATCTTTCACTTATAATTGTGTTATACCTCCTCAAATATAATATGGCAGTGCAAAATACTTAAGTCCTCTTGCCTATTAGATTATTTATTGTTTAACAAACATGTAGTTTAGATTTTAAAAAAATATGCTTATGTTTAACAGTTTGCAACAAAATTATTGGAAAAATTTATCATTTCTTGTATTGTTTTGCATAAATATGTATACAGCAAAAGATTAAATCATCTGTTCCTTGTCATACATTAGCAGTTTATATTTAGATATCCTCTGGATGTTTGAAACCAAACATATAATGTAGCATTTATCTTTGCACTGTATTTAGCCTTGTAGCGTATTGTGAATCATTAGAATTTGTGAGGGCCAATTTTCGTGGACTGCTTAAATTTCACAGGTTCGTGGGGGACATAATTTTGTGTAATCTCTTATACTTACAAAAAGAAGTATGACTTTATAACCTAATTTGTTAATTTGTGGACGATGTTACTGCATGGATGAGAGGTACCCACGAATTCCTCGAAAATTGAGCCAACATGAAATCTAATGATTCCACAGTATCAAATTTTATAGCTTTCTTTTTTCAGAATCAAAGAAATTGTTAAAGGCAACTTATCAAAGCTGACTTAGTAATTCAGTTAATTGTTTCATAATTTCAGTTTATTTTAACGGTGAAAGACCATGTTTGATTGTGACTCTATTGCAGAACAGCCATATCAGCAGTGGATTATCCAGAAATAGATGTGGACATTATTTCACTCTTTATCCCCCATTTGTCTTTCAGAATCCCCATTTTGTCTTTCAGAAGGAATGTGTCTGACTATGAAAACCACACACAAGCAGGGCAGCGTGTCTTTTCTGTTATTGCATAATATGTTTTCCTCAGCTGGAAGAAAAATATACAACTCGTTAAAAGTGCCATTTCTGTCCTAATATTACAATTAGGTTAAAGGAAATACTGGTCTTTGTCAGTGATTTGAAACAAAATTGAAATTCTCAACAAGTACATGCCTTCAAGAGCATATAATTTATCTGAACAAATAAATCTTTTTGAATGTACTTGCACATTTCAGCAATATATTGGAGTGAAGCTTTACAGCATTCCATTACAAATGGCATTAAAGCAGTCTTGGAAACTTTTTATGTTCATTTGTTGGTCTCTATTTTACATAATGTTTTCAACTTTATACATTGTTTTGTTTCAGGAATAAAATATTTTTATACAAAAAAAATCTTGTGTTTTTTCTTCCTTTTGTAAGAATAAACTTACTCTGCTTGATTAAGGTCAGACAAAATTGTCCTAAAAAATATAGAACTTTTCCCAAGAATTTGTGATTGAAATATTGCTACTTGAAGAAGTTTCCTCACAAAGAAATTGAGAACAGTACTACATATTTGTAGGCATAATTTGTGCAAAATTAGGGAGGTGGAATTTTTATGCCTCCCTTCAAAGAAGGGAGGGCATATATTGCTTTACTGCTGTCTGTCGGTCCACCAACAGTTTCCGTTCATTTTCTTTGCAGAGGTTGCACATACTAAAATGAAATTTAGTATACAGATTTATCATAAGAATATCTAGGTCAAGTTCTGTTTTGGGTACGATCGAGCAATTTTTGACAGAGTTATGCTTCTTGGACTTAAAAGAAATTCCAATTATTTGCAGTTTCCGTTCATTTTCTTCGCAGACGTTGCACATACTGAAAATGAAATTTGGTATACAAATTTATCATAAAAATATCTAGGTGAAGGTCTGCTCTGGGTACGATGGAGCAATTTTTGACAGAGTTATACCCCTTGGACTTAAAAAAATCCAATGGGGGGGGGGGGGCATAAGCGTTTCACAAACATCTCTTGTTTCCTATATAATCCTATAGAACTGCTTATATAGCAATATTCGGTTCATATATTTTCCAGAGATTTTGAAAGTAGTTTAGAAATCCAAAGATAATGATAACTAAAAAGATTTTTGGATTTTTAGAGTACAAAAGAATGCAAAAACAGATATTCAAGGAAAGTATCGACAGAACTTGATGTTTTTGAGACTTTTTTAAAATTACATTAAAGCCCCCAACATCCTCTGCTCACTAAAGAGTACATGTAAGAGTGATCTGCCCTTAGATTGAGAATAATATAACTATTTTTTGCCATCAATTCAACCTTAATTTCTAAACGTTTTATTAGACCATAATAAATTAACTGAACATTTTTATTTTCCCATTCAAGTAAGCAAGCCAACATTGGTCATCAATACTTGGTATATTTGACCATAAATTCATTGTAAAATCATAAACAATCGACATTTCACAGTGACATCAAAGTATAGTACGCAAATATTTGTTATAAAACAGTCAGAAATGTTAAACATAAGTAATAAGGTATCGGATTGGTACGTAATCAAATTTTTCATAATAGCCCTTTGGGCTTTAATTATGAGACCAACTCATATATTTACATCCGGATTAAAGTTTTAAAATGATACTGATCTTCATATGACTTTTCAATCTCCTATGCAGAGTTGTCGTTCGTTTCTCTCTCAGACACCTCTGCAATGGGCTCGCGTCAAGATTTTTGACATAAGGTAAACACCATGATATATCAAGGATTATTTCAAATTAAACTAATAGTTCCAGATCTACTTAGTAGATATCTGCCTTACAAGACAAACATTAGTGCAGGAATTTAATTATAATGAATTAAAACAATCGCACTATTTCTTGTGCTTAACACTGTGATATACGCGAGCCAACGACAGAGGTGAATGTATGAGCCGATGGTAGAGAGTGATGACTTTTACGTCGATTTTGCAATCCATATGGGGGTCAGAGGGAGGGGGTTCCAACCGTCTTTTGCTGCAGAATCTTTATCATTCTAACGTAGTCCATGCCCCTTTAAACACACAAACATTTTTTATTGCAATAAATAAATCATGTTCTTATACAATCAAACTAAAATTAGATGATCTGAATCCGCTTCTCAAACATTGAAATGTCGCTCTGACATGACCCCGAATGGGATGTTGTTAGATGTTTGAGAAGCGGTAGCGGATTCGGAACATCTAATTTTAGTTAGATTGGTTCTTATATTGAAAAGAAAATCAAAAATTCTACTCTCTCCAAAGTTATGTAAGTTTTATTTTCAGGTCACCTGAGTTATTAAGGTGACCTTTCGTCCGTTGTTGTGCATTAACATATATACATATGAATTTCATGACCCCAGGATAGGAGGTTCCGGTGCAAGGGCGGGTTAAGTAAAACTAAGTGTATAGTTATGATAAACAAGAGCGCCTCTGCCAAAATAATTATTTTCTTGGTCCCTTGCTAAGGAGTTTTGTTGTTAGGGTGGGGTTCTATTGATTATTCGTGTAAAGTGAAAATGCATTAATTCTCTGAATATCTCTTGTGGTCCTGGGTATTTAGCAGATAAACTGTGTCTCCTCCAAACTCGTGAAATATGTAGCCCCGTGGTCAGGGATTCATTGTGTGGGGTATAGGTCTATTGATTTATACATAATGAATATGCATTAATGCTTTGAAAATCTTCTCTACTCCTGGACATTTATAGTGAGCAAGGGGTTTTATTATCTTTATTGAGTTTGATGGCCCCTGAGTCAGAAGATCTGGTGTTAGGGCGTGACTCTATTGATTATATTGTGAAAATGCACTTATTCTTTGAAAAATT